CCGAAGGCAGATGCTTAACCATCTGAACCACCCAGGCACCCAATTTTAAAAATTTTTTAAAGGCTAGGGAAAAATATGTCATTATGTTCAATTTCCTGAGTGAGATAAGGATACTGTGGTTATATAGGAGAATATCCTTGCTCTTAGGAGATACATGTTGGAGTACTTGATGGTGGAATGTCTCTGCCATCTGCAACTTATTTTCAAATGCTTTGACCAAAAAAAAGTATATAAGTATATTTTTAAAGTATATGGGTATATACAAAGTACTTGAATATATATGTATAAGTATGTAATATACATAAATGTAAAAATAGTGAAAGGTAGATGTTGCTTTGGATTCAGTTTTTCTGCAGGTTTCACATTTTTCAAAATTAGAAGTTGAGGAAAATACTGTGGAATATATGGAGAAATAATCGATAAAATATTAAAGATACAAAATAAAATACAAATTGAAAACTTACATATCATCTTAGAAAAAAGCTCATCCTGTTACAACCCTGCTTAAAACCTTCACTAGCTTCCCACTGCTACCAGGACAAAGACAAAGCCACCTAACAAGGCCCACAAGGCCCAGCCAGTATGGTCTGGCCCTTGCCTCCTCCCAAGCAGGCTTACCTACTCACTCACTCCTGGTCACCATCCTCTCTCCCGCCGCGGCTCCAACTACACCCCAAGTAACCCACTCCTCCTAAGTTCCCTCGCCTGGCCTTTGCGTGTGCAACTACCACAGCCTGACTCTGAGGGACTGAGCCAGGGGCTTTCGAGCTGTCTCTTCGAAACCATTCCCCTAAAATCTCCTCTCCGAAGTTTCTCTGCGCCCCCAGGTCTGGGTGACATGACTCCTTGGCATCCTGTTCTCCGTCCCATCATCGCACTTAGCACACGGTATTGTAATTGCCTGCTTACTTGTTCATCTTCAGTGTTCTGCAAACTTCTCGAGGACCGGGCCTGCTTTATTTCCCAGTCTCCAGGACTGGTCTGCGCACAGTAATTTTGTGTGCAGTAAATGGAATGAGCTTCCATTTTCTTGTATGTAAAATAAAGGAGTTCAGCTAGATGACAATAAAATGTGTCAAATAACAGCAGTCCCAACTGAGCGGGAATTCCTGGATTTTTTGCATCTCTCTGCTTCATGACCTAAAAGCACCAGTCGCCAAAAAAAAAAAAAAAAAAAAAAGACTACAGTTCCCGTGAGCCCTCGGGGCATCACGTGGCGCCTGCCCGTTCTACCATCGCGTAGCCAGGACTCCATTTCCCAGCGTGCCTCAGGACGCGACGACCGCGTTTGTCCGAGACCTTCAGGAGTCGGGTCCCTGAGCCCCAGCTGCGGTAGCCAAGGCTGAGCGGAAGGTAGAAAGGGCCCAGCCTGGGATTAGAGGGGACGCTGGCTCAACCACAAACCTGGAGTTGTACATACCCTGCCTTTGCAACCTCCGGCCCACTCCCTGCTAAATGTGCCTCTCGCGGGCCCTTTCCAGTCCCTCGTCGGCCCTCCGCTGCCCTCGGCTGGAGGCCCAATTCCCCCACGTCACGCAGAGGAGAGGGTTGGTGTCTGGAGTCGCGGCGGGCGGCCTGCAGGAGCGGCTGGGGCTGGGCGGCTGGTGAGACGGGGCGCTCACCGGGTGGGGGGCCCTGACCCTCACTGCTCGGGCCTTGTCTCTGCGGTAGCCGATGCTGAGTGGGCAGCTGGTCGGGCGCCTGTTCTCCATGGCCGGTCGCGTGTGTCTGTCCCGGAGCAGCGCGGGATTGGGGACCATCGGTCCCGTGGAGGCCGCCATTCGCACGAAGTTGGAGCAGGCCCTCAACCCCGAGGTGCTGGAGCTGCGCAATGAGAGCGGCGGCCATGCAGTCCCACCGGGCAGCGAGACGCATTTCCGCGTGGCGGTGGTGAGCTCTCGCTTTGAGGGACTGAGCCCCTTACAACGGCACCGGCTGGTCCACGCTGCCCTGTCTGAGGAGCTGGCTGGGCCGGTCCACGCGCTGGCCATACAGGCGCGGACCCCCGCCCAGTGGAAGGAAAACCCTCAACTGGACATGAGCCCCCCTTGCCTGGGTGGGAGCAAGAAAACTCGGGGAACCCCCTGAGCCCCAAGAGAGGGAAGACCAGGATTCTCATGGTTTGGAATAAACTACGGGCTTTCCTCCCTTCAATACAGTCTGGTATTTGTAAGGGATAAGGACCCTTGGGTCCCATTCAGCCAGCACATACATATTCTCTGGAGATGGCAACTCATTTCAGATCCAAGCTTACCCGAGGAAAGAGTAGAATGACTCACCACTGCCCTTGCCTTTTACTGTTTAGGAAAAGCTGCCCAGGCATTTCGTGTTAAATTGTGACTAAGGAACCACCAGACCTGATGAGTTGGAAATAATCCTGTACATTAAAAGATAAATTATCATAGGAGATACACTGCTTTGTGTTATTAATGGCCTGTTGAATCAGTGCTACAGATGTTCTTGGGAGAAGAAAGATACCTGTAGCCTAGGGTAGTCATGAAGGCCTTCACTGGGGGGAGTGACCTAATTGGATCTTGACAGGAAAGCAAGACTTAAACCAGAAAGGAGAGGAAAGATGTTACCGGTGGGGGGAAGAGCTGAGCAAAGGCATAGAAGCTGGACTAGACAATGACTGATTGGACAAGACAGGAGTTACAAATACATTAGGATTTCATACTGGGGGAATATTTGGCTTTCTATCAGCCTGTCCATTTCCAAAAGGATTTGCCTTTGTTTCTCAGAAAAATCCTTAACAAATAGAAACCAAAACACAGTAAGGCAGTGAAAAGATGGTAACATGGAAAATGAGTATAGAAGAAGGAGAAAACTTTATATAGCCCATTTTCTTACGAGCCTTCTAAAGTCCTATTTCTGAAGGGAGCTCAAGTGATGTCTAGATACACAACGTTGATGACCTTAATGTGGCAATAGACTCTAGATACTAAAGAAATAGATAAACATATATCTTGATCATTTTGAGCTACAGTTTAGACTACATCTGGTTGGACAGTAGGAAGTCCCTGAGTTTTGAGGAAGGGCATACCTAAGAGCATTTGGGGGCAGAGTGATCTGGCAGTGATGTGTTAGTGAGTTGACATAGGAGATTGGAGGCACAGAGATCAAGAGGGAAGGTGGGACCCTGACTTCAAGGCCAGCTGTAGGAATGGAAAGGAAGGAGTTTTGAGAGCTATGATGAAAAGTCAGAAAATGGCTTGATTAGAACAGAAATGTGAATGAGGGGGAGTCCCACGTAATCCCCAGGCAGCAGTTTCCAGATTTCCTCACAGATAAGAATTCCCATGGGAGCTTATTTCAAATGTGGATTCTGGATGCCCCCTCTTCCAAAGAAAAATTCTGATTCCACAAGAATGGAATCTGGAATCCATATCTTTAAAAGACACACAAGAGGATTTGGAGGAAAGCTGGCTCTATTCTCAAGAAACACTCCCAAGGGGTGCCTGGGTGGCTCAGTCGTTAAGCGTCTGCCTTTGGCTCAGGTCATGATCCCAGGGTCCTGGGATCAAGCCCCGCATCGGGCTCCCTGCTCTGCGCGAAGCCTGCTTCTCCCTCTCCGATTCCCCCTTGCTTGTGTTCCCTCTCTCGCTATGTCTCTCTCTGTCAAATAAATAAATAAAATCTTAAAAAAAAAAAAAAAAAAAGAAACACTCCCGAGTTTTTGTTTGTTTTGAAAATTTTATTTATTTGAGAGCGTGCATGCGCTCAAGTGGGAAGGGGACAGAGGGAGAGGGACAAGCGACACTCTGCTGAGCAGGGAGCCTGGCAGCATGGGGGCTCAATCTCAGGACCCCGAGATCATGACCTGAGCCAAAGGCACTTAACTGACTGAGCCACCCAGGCGGGCCTTAAATTTTATTTTTTAAGTTCTGTTTTATTGTGGTAGTAACACTTAACCTGAGGTCTACTCTTAAATGTTTAAGGGTACAGTGCATCATTGACTAAAGGTACAGGGTCATACACATCTCTAGGGCTTATTCATCTTGCTTAACTGAAACTTTATCCCTTTGATTAGTAACTCCCCATTTCCTTCTCTCCCCTACCCCGGCAACCATTATTCTACTCTTTGATTCTATGAATTTGACTATTTTAGATAACTGAGATAGATAATGGGATCATTTGGTCTTTGTGTTTCAGTAACTGGCTTATTTGACTTAATGTCCTCATGGTTCATCCATGTCATCACATACTGCATAATTCCCTTATTTTCTAAAAGCTGAATAGCATTCCGTTGTATGTATAGACCACATTTTCATTATCAGCTCATCTGCGGATGGACATTTAAGTTGTTTCCACGTCTCAGCTATTGTGAATAGTGCTGCATGGGAGTGCTAATATTGCCAAGATCCTCATTTCAGTTCTTTTGATAAATATCCAGAAGTGAGGTTGTTGGATCATATGGTAGTTCTATTTTTAATTTTCTGAGGAGCCTCCATACTCTTTCACATAGCAGCTGCGCCATTTTGTATTCCCACCAACAATGTGCAAGTGTTCCAGTTTCTCCACATCTTCACCAACACCATTTAGTTTTTTTGTTTTGTTTGGGTTTGGGGGATGGGTTGGTTTTTGGTAATAGCCATCCCGACAGGTGTGAAGTGATGTCTCATTGTGGGTTTGATTTGCATTTCCTTGATGGTTAGTGCTGTTTCGTATATACCTGTTGACTATTTGTATGTCTTTGGAGAAATGCTTATTCAAGACTTTAGCCCCTTTTTTCAATCAGTTACTAGTTTTTTGCTACTGAGTTATAGGATATTACCCCAAGTTTTCAAATCTGGGAGACTGAGAGGACCCTCCATCTCCAGAAGTGAAAAGGGGAGGATAGAGAGGCCAAGTGAGGAAATAAATGTGGCGCATCGTATCACTCTGGGCTTCAATTTAGGGAGAGAGGAATAATATTTCCATCTCACCACCTTCCCCTCCCACAGGCAGAACAGAGTTGAATGCAGGTGGAGCAGCAAAGAAGCAGATGCAGCCATTTGGGATTTTAAGGATTTATTTTCTTTTTCTTTTTCATCAATATTTTTCTTTTCATTTTTCACATCAACAGAGTTGGGTTTAGGGGGGTTCCCCAGGAGAGCAGGAGAGATGGATGGGTCCCTCCAGGGGGCACAGGGGAGAAGGCTGCGTCCAGCAAATGAAGGGTGAGGAAAGGGGGTACACACCCATACACTGGGCACTGGAGAAGGCGGGCCTTTGAGCACAGACACCAGAGTTCAACAGTCCCCACCTGATTCAGTGTTACAAAATGGGGGGAGTGACCATAGGGTGGGCGCACCAGACACAACATGAAGAGGGTGAATTTGGATTTTCTTTTTTTGTTGTTTGTGTTTTCACTTTTTAACGTTTTACAAACAGCTAAAAACTACAACACATCACAGCTACAGTGGGGGGGGGGGGCAGGAGGGCACCAAAGAAAGCAGCCACACTGGGGTGAGGCGAGGGCAGCTTAACCTACAGGGGCTATCACGTAGAAAGGTGAGATGGGGAAACTGAGGCTTCGGTCCCACATGAGGGGTCCCTGGCTTATTGCCCAACCTCTTCCCACTCCAGAGGAGTTGCTGGGAGGGCCCCTGCTTTCTGCCCCTGCCCCAGCTCCTTGTGCTTTTTGATCTGCTGGTTTGACCACATGCCTGGTTTCTTTCCCTCCCCTGCTACCCTGCCTGTGAGGGGACAGCTTGGGGGTGGGAGGGTGGCTGTGCCGTCCCTGTCTGTGCTATAGTGGGTGGAGCCTCTCACTCTAGAGGCCTGTGCTTCTTGAGAGGAGGGGAGGACATGGACCTTGTCAGGGGCCCTCAGGTCTGTCTAGGCTGTGGGGCTCATCCTAGCCTGGCCCGGGGCTCCCGCCTCCCAGGCCTGGCACAGAAACAAGATTAGGGGAGGGACCACGGGAGGCAGGGGCGTGTGTGTGTCCATGGAGATTACCCTTGGCTTGTATCTCAGGACAGTATAGCGACACCCCGCCCCACGGCACATACACACACAGTGTTACACGTGCATTCACACACACCGTCCTGCTGAGCTGCCTCAGAACTTAATCTCTAAATAAATAAGAATCAGAAGGCTAATTTCATAAAACTCAGGCTTCTTACTTGTAGCCCAAATTGAGGGGGGAGTGGAGGCCAGGGGGCTGAGGTTTATTGCTACTTTCCCAGCGTCCAGCAGGCGTGAGAGGGCACCTGAGGCCCTTCCAACTCTAAGAAGTTCTTTTGGTCCATAGCCTACACCGAGCCCCAGCCCCCAGCAGAACCACATGCCCACGGTTTCACCAGGGCCTAGGCAGAGGGGATGCGGGGGGCGGGCGGGAGGCCTGTTCTGGACCCCCTAGAGCCAGGAAGAGCTAGGGCCCCTCACTAACACCGGGGGAGAAGGGTGGGGACAAGCCCTCTCTTGTGCAAAGTCAACGGGGGTAGGAGGTGGGGAGTTGAGCTGCATCCCGAAACTGGGACGCAAGAGCCTTCCCTGTAGTTCCCGCGCACGGGTCACACACATGCACACGCGCACGCACACACACACGGCTAAGACACGGAACACAGGGCAGTGGGGACTGAGGCTTCTCGGGCCAGGGGGGCAGGGCAGGGAGGGAGAAGGAGCCGTAGGTCTCACAGTGTGCCTGCCGCCCTCAAAAGCCCTGCGGCGCTCACTGCAGCACCTGCCCCCGGGTCTCAGGCAACTTCAGGGCCAGAGAACTCCCGAGGGCAAGCGCGGCTGAGGCAAACAGGATGGGGGCAGCCTTGGTGATTCCCACAAAGGATGTGAAGATGCTGATCCCCAGCACGGCCGCCAGCTTACAGAGGGCATTCAGGAAGCCGAAGGCTGTGGTCCTGCTCAGGAGCCCCCAGTGCAGTAGGAAGGGGAGACAAGGAAGAGGCATGGGAGGGTTTGTGGGGGATTGGTGAGTAGGTGGGAAAGTGAAGGAGAGATGGCAGGCAGTGTCCGAGAAGGAGAGGAAGGATGGAAAGATGAGAGAGGGGAGGGATGTACACCAGGGAATATAGATTGGGAGGCAAGGGGAAAAGAAGACCAAAAAATTAGGTTAATAGTTAAGACTTCAAGGAGTGAACACCAAAGTTACCAGCTCTTAGAGGAGAAACTCAATGGGAATGTGTGTCCTTCTAACCCTAAAGATGATCTCCCATTCAGCCCACTTCCTTACAGAGGCCCGAAACCGGCGGCCCTGCCCCCACGACACTCCAACTACCTCTTGTCCGAGGGGTAGAGTTCAACAGTCAACACGTCCAGCGCGTTCCAGGATGCAATGCTGACCCCCCCAAAAAGGCAGAGCAGAGCGATCATGGCTGACTCGCTGTTCCCAAACGACAGGAAGAAGCAGGAGACACAGGACATCACGCTGGAGCCAGCTGGAGTCAGGAAAAGGAGGGAACATGAACCTGGCCACAGTGATGCCCATCCACAACCCACCCCGTGCCACCAACCAGGCTTGAGGGTAGCCCAGGATGAGACTCTTCTTCCCAAAGGACTCAAAAGGAAGGCTCTTCACTCATCCCCAACCTCCCTTATCATTATCTTTTTATTAATAATATCAGTAACAACCATCTCTTCAATGACAGCTATGGGCCAAGGACCTTGATGCTTTACATGCATTGATCTAATACAGCAACCCAGTGAGGCGGGTACTGTCATCACCCCCATTTTACAGATGAGACACTTGGGCTCACAGAGGTGAAGCAACTTGCCCAAGGTAGGGGGTGGGGTTGAGATTTAAAACCCATAACCTCAAAGCCTGTGTGCTTGCTATTCTGCCTACCTCCTTTACCCCCCAGAGAAGCTTCCATGCCAGGCCCCACCCCATCTTGCAGCCAAGACCTAAACAGAAAACAAGAGAGAGAGAGAACCTTCTCTGGCTAAGCTCTTCCTTCAGAATGAGGTAAGAAGCATGTTGACAGCCTCACCCTGCTCCCCGGCCCCCAAATCAGTTCTGACACACACCACCAGCCACCTGCCCCTTACCAAGCATTCGGAGCCTGCCAATCTTGTCCATGAGCAGCGCAGACACGATGTTCCCAGGAAGCACAGCCAGCGTCCCCAAGAAACTGACAAAGTACACCATATAGGCGCCTTCCCCCGTCCCTGTCACATCCAGTGGGCAGCCCTCCTTGTTGTGCAGGAACGTGCTGTTCACCAGACGGCTGTTCACAAACTTGTACTCAAACAGGTCTAGGGGCCAAGACCAAGAGAGGCAGGCGGTCAGTGAAACGTGGGAGGGAGGCTGCCACTGCTTAGGGCTCAGGGCGCTGCCTTTGTGGGGTTAGTCAGGGGTGGAGGGGAGGCAGGGCTCTCAAAAGAATTGCTCAGGACCTTCATTACAAAACATCAAATGATAGCACCCTAGGAACTAGGACTGTTCCTATGGTGCAGGAAATTACCACAGTCTGTGAAATGGAACAGTGGAACTGGCTGTTTCCAAGTTGTCTCATTAATAATCTTTGCTTCTTATTCATTCTTTTTGTCTGCCCTAGCTGACTATAAGCAATAGCGGTGCCACGGGTCTAGGAAAAATTACTGAGCCAGATATTAAAAATCATTACAAGTCCTTTCCATTATTTTTCCCTGCAAGGTGGGAAAAACTCACCTAGTACTCCATTAGAGGTGGGATCCTCAGTCTAGCTGACAAAGCAGCATTTCATGTGCATATAGTTTGAGAATCACTGTTTTAAAAACTGGACTAATGTGGGGTGCCTGGGTGACTCAGTCAGTTAAGGGGCCGACCGTTAATTTTGGCTCAGGTGGTGATCTCAGGGTAGTGGGATCAAGCCCTGTGTGGGGCTCCCCACGTCTGCTTGAGATTCTTTCTCTCCCCTTCCCTCTGCCTCTCAAATAAATAAATAAATCTTAAAAAAAAAAAAAAAAAAGCACTGGACTAATGCAATGATTTCCAACCTTTTACCCACCAAATATCCCTTTTATTGTTTTTTTTCCCTGAAGATCCTGTTTGAATGAGTTTTGCCCTCTTCTGCAGAAGTGCATTAATAACACCACAGAGTTGCGTTAGTTCCAGCTCAAAGGCAAAGAAATTTGATGCTTTTGCCAGATGTTCTTAAAACTATTACAGAAAAATGTTCAATTTCCATTCGATTTTCGGAATTCTTGGTGGTAGCTAGTAGGCCCCCATACCACCAGGGCCCCAAAGAGCTCAGCTTGTGAACCCTGAGCTAGGGAATGAGAAAGGCTCCTTCTCCCCTCCTCAGGGTCCTCCCAGTCCTTTGGTCTGTCAGCCACCAGCCACACCACCTTACCAGTGTTATAGAACACAGTGTTGATGAACGTGCAGTTGCGGAAAAATGTGTTGCTCGAAGTGACATCCTCGAAATAACACTCCTCAAATAGGGAATCCTCAAAGGACACTGACTTCAGACGTAGCCCAATGAACCTGGAAGGCCAGGATGATGAGACGTACTTTCCCTTTATCCTCATACCCTCCTCCAACACTCGTTCCCTTGGAATTGAGGAGAAACCACAGGTATTTACCCCCAAACACCCTGTCTCTGAACTCCCAGACTCATAAAATGAAATGGAAAGGTCCCCACGTACTTGTCATTGAAGTATTGTCCCCCTCTGTGGATCTGATTCTCCAGAGTGAAATTAAAGGTCACATGCTCCACATGCTCCCCAGAGAACAGTTTGGTGCGGGCTTCGTAGTCCACCGCCTGGAGATGGCGAATCATGTCAGGAAACCAGACAGTCAGGCCATAGTAGCTGAAGAGTCAAGACAATGGAATCAGACAAGGCTCAGGATTAGGACCGGGGGGTCCAGAAGTGAGGGGATAGAGAGTCAGGACCTTGCCCTCCTCTCCAGCCTCCACCGTCACTACTCCTCCCTTCACCAATTGCCGTGGGTCTGGGGGACTTCTCATTTTTCTAACCCCCCCCAATGTACTCTCTTATCTCCCATGCATTTGCTCTGCCCTTGGCCTAAAACAGTCTCCCCACCACCACCCCACCCCCAGCCTATCCAACCTCCATTCGGTCTTCAGGACTTAGATCCCCACCGCCCCCACATGCCTCCTCACCTGAATGACATGGTAAACCACACACCCATCATCATCAGAGTGATGCGTCGATATTCTGGACCGAAACAGGAGAGGAAATTCCCCCAAACCTAGGTGGAACAGAACCAAGTCAGAGAGTGGCTGTGCTAACTTCTAGCACCCCCAGGCACCCCCTTCTCCTACCTAACTCCTTCTCTCAGTTTAGCCCCCACCCCACCCCCACAGCCCTGACTTTGTCTCCACCTCTCCCACTCCCTTCTCTTTCTTCGCCGAACCATCCCTCATTACCTGGCCCCCCAGGCTCAAGGCCCGGACCCCCCAGCGCTGGTACCAAGTCCCCGTGTCTGACTGGATTTCAATCAACTCATCCTCCTGATGAATCGTCTTAATGTGGGTTACCTGGGGTCAAGAGAAGGGGTTAGCAGTCACATAGTCTGTATTTCCCAACCCCATTCAGGTGCCTCCGTTTCTCCTACGGTAACAAAAGGCAGGCAGGGGCGGCTGTGCCATGACCCTGAGAGATGACATGGAGGGAGGGTGTGGTCGGAGAGGTCAGAGAAGGTAGGGGGTGGAATCCAGAGAGGCGCCACTGGGGCTGGGACTGCAGGGCCGAGGAGGGTCGCGGGCAGGGCTTTGGCTTACTGAGAAGACACGCTCAGGATGCCCCTTGGCTCGCATGTTGGTGTCATGAACCTGCTTCAGCACCATCCAGGCCTCATCGTGCTTCCCATTCTAGAACCACAGACACAGTTCCCATATCCAGTTAGCTCCTCCCCGAGCCAGGGTAATAGGCCCCCTCCCTGTGATTTCTCTAGTCACAGGATACAGAAATGCTCCCACCTCCACCTCTGACCTCTGGGCACGGACATCACCCACTCAGAAAGAGCCCCAAGTAGGGATACGGCAAAATATAATCGGCCTTGGGCAGTAGTAAGGGGAGCCCAGGAGACAGATGCAACTACAGGTCCTAGGGATCCCCTGGTACGATGGGAAGAGAAAACTGAAAACAAGGGAACTGATGATAGGGTAAGTGGGTCGTCGGAGAAGCAGCATCCTAACCCTGCTGGACCAAGATCTACTTGGAAGGGGACGAAGTAGAGGGTGGGAACTTCTCTTGAGCTATAAAGTAAGGGCTGGGGCCCCTGCCTGCAAAATCTTAAACCACCCGTGGGTGAGCAGGTACCCTGGTTTCTCCACGCACAGAGCCCCTCTGGAGACACATCACAAGACAAAGGAAGCAAGATAAAGTCCCCAGAAGTGTGGACCCTGTGAGGGTCCCACAAACCGAACCCACCGTGAGTGCTTGAACACAGAACCCCCTGCCCCATTCACCTCCAGGAAGAAGCGGGGGCTCTCCGGCTGTGTGGTCAGAGCGCCGATGGCAAACACCGAAGGGAAGGCACAGACGAGGACAAACACCCTCCAGCTGTGGAACTGGTAAGCCGACCCCATCTGAAAGCTCCACCCTGGCAGGGACAGTCAGCATCAGCAGAGGGGCCAGAGGCTGGGGGCTCCCACCACCAGGCGCCCCAGCGAAGAGGGAGAGGCTGCGGTGCATTCCCTGGGGGCTGCTCACCGTAGTGGGGGATGATGGCCCAGGCCATAGCAGCTGCATACACTCCACCAATCATCCAAAACATGCAGAGCCAGCTCAAATGCTCCCCACGCTTCTCCTGGGCCAGAAACTCCGAGAAATAGGAGAAGACAATGGGGATGGACCCTCCGATCCTGGAGGGCATCGTAAGAATTAAGCATTGGAAAACGGCCCTGTTCCTGATCCCCTGCCCCCAGCGCTTGGCACCCCCAAGCGCCTTTCATCTTCCACACCTCAGTAAAGAGACTTCTTAGTACCCAGTACACTCCCTCACCAGCAGCCCGTAAGCACCCATCCTTGGGACCCTGGGACACAGGCAGGGAGGTCTCAGGGAAAGGGGAGGCCCAAACGTTGCATCTTGAAGATAACGACAGAGTTGCAAGAGAGGGAAGATAATTATGGACGAGAGGGGGAGTCCCCAAAGGAAAAAGATGGGCAGAGAGGAGTCTGAGGGCAGGTATGTGGGAGCAGGCCAGGAAAGAGCTTGCAGCCAGGGCGAAGAACGCATGCTGGTGGCTCGGGGAGTGTGGGAGCATGGATGGGTCAAGGCTTCAGAGTTCCGGCAGCTGTGGGTTAACAAGGTCTGTTGTCAAATGCAGGAAATATGTCATGGGGGAAGGGGATAACTCAAGGGCTCGCAGGCGCCCAGGGGTAAGGCTGAGACCCACCAGGCCTCTTCATGGAGCCAGGCTCCAAATGGAACTAGAGGGTGGGATGGAGGACTCAGGAGTGGACCAGACATGGAATGGTGTTCTGGGCAGGCGGTAGATGGGTCCTGGACAGGGGGAAGCTGGCCTAAAGACGGTAGGAGAGGGGCGCCTGGGTGGCTCAGTCGTTAAGCGTCTGCCTTCGGCTCAGGTCATGGTCCCAAGGTCCTGGGATCGAGCCCCACGTCGGGCTTCCTGCTCAGCGGGAAGCCTGCTTCTCCCTCTCCCACTCCCCCTGCTTGTGTGCCCTCTCTCGCTGTGTCTCTGTCAAATAAGTAAATAAAATCTTTAAAAAAAATAAAAAATAAAAAATAAAGACGGTAGGAGAAAGGAATTCATTCACTTCATACAGATTTGAGGTATGTCTGTGTGCCTGGCACTGTGCTGGGCTCTAGAAATACACCAGTGACCAAGGCACAGTCCTCCTTCAGGACTGCCTCCGGGGGCTTAGCAAGTGGCCACTCACCCAATCCCAGAAAGGAGGCGGCAGAAGAGGAAAGTGCCATAACCCTGGACGAAAGATGAGAAAAAGGCGAAGACGCTGTTGACTGAGAGCGAGATGAGCAGACACTGCCTCCGACCCAGCCGATCAGCCAGACCTCCCCAGAGGAAGGCTCCCACCATCATGCCCAGGTAGACTATAAGGCCTAAGGGAGGGAAACAGAGGCAGCAGGGCTATGAGCAGACATGCTTCCGTTCTCACACTTGTTGAGCATTAAGTGAGCTAGAGCTGCAGCAGAATGGATCAAGGAGCTGGGAGGACTTCGAGAATAGCTAAGTCTACCCAGAGATGAGAGCAAGTAAAGAGAAGAAGTGTGAGCAAAGACGGAAGGCCATCCCCGCAGGCCAGGGGTTCAAAGGCAGGAATACAGACTTGAGAGACCCCCCAGAATTCTTTCTCTCCCTCCCGCTCTCTCTTGCTTGCTCTCACCTCTCACTCTCTGTCTGTCTCTCTGTCCCTGTCTCTCTCTCTCACACACACACACCACCCCCATCTCTGGCTTGCCTGGAAGGAGGAACGGCGCGGCCCAGACTCCCAGACTGTCCTACGGTCCCCTCTCCTCTCCCAGCCCTGATGCCCTCAAAGCAGCAGGAAGGGTCTCTTGCGTCCCTGGGAAAGCAGCTCCATCCCTTCAGTCCCCCAATGAAATCCCCCACACAGAACCCAGCTCCAGTGCTTCTGGTCCTAAAACTTTCCTGTTCCTTATTTCCTTCCTACATTCAGAGTTGGAACTAATCTTAAAACTCATCTATTCCAAACTCTGCATTTTAGCCATGCTTCAGCTAAGCCCCAAGGAGTGGGGATCTGCCCAGGATCTCATGGCAACTTGGGAGCAGAGCAAGACCAAGAGATGCTTTGTGGGTGAGTCTAGGGGGCTTCCTCCCTCAGGGTCCACATGAGGAAGGGCCACTAGAGACCACTCACTGGCCCTTGGACACTCCCAACAGGGGTCTGTGCCACCATGGCCACCTCCTCCAGAACTAACTAAGCAGACCACCGCCCAAGCCCCAGCCCAGCACGAACAGCCTCACCGTGACCCAGTGTCAAGAGGAAGGAGTGAGGGGAGAGTGTGCAGAGGAACTCCAAGCCCTCTGGAGACATCTTGGGACCAGGATCCTAGGGAGCCCAGCGGTAAGGACAGGGGTTCTCACAAGCAGAGGTGTTTCTAGAGTTTGGGGCAGGACAGGGCTGGAGGGCCCCCCAGTGTGTCTTACCTAGCATGCCTTTGTTGGAGTCTGACAGGCACATGTCTTTTTCAGCACTAGGCAGCACAAAGCCCACCACAAAGACTTCCACACCATCAGCCATCAGCGCCAGGCCAAGCACGAAGTAGAGTGTCCACTGGAAGCGGCCGTGGCCACACTCCCGGAGGATGGCTTCGTACTGCTGAGCTAGCTCTTCCCGTTCTTTACGCCGTTGTGCCTCCCCCCGGCCACCAGGGGGGCCCTCCCCATTGCCCAAGCCCCCCCTCCCTCCAGCCAGGGGAGCCCCATCTGCCATCCGCTCGCCTTTGCCCCCAGACTCTGCCCGGGGGATGCCCTGATATTCCCCCTCGTAGATCTCATCATCCTCATCGTGGCCCTCGGTGGCATCACTAGATGCGCCACCTTCTTCCTCATCCTGGGCCCCTTCCCCACGGTAATAGCCATCAGCAGGGGCAGGGAAGTCATCATCATCCTCCTCCTCCTCAAAGCGAGAGTAGGATCTACGGGAATATTCATCCTGGACTCTGTCCAGGCCCTTCACCACCTTCTTGGCCGCATGTTTCTTGACTTCCTTGGCAATGTCCTTGGCCCCACGGATGAAAGCTGCCCGGTCTCTGAAGCCTTCTTCCATGATGAGTCTTTGGGAATGCTTCACTAGGTTTCCGTCACTCCCTGCTCCTTATTCAGATTTTGCTCAAGGACTTGTGAAGTCAGAAAGTCTCCTTCCCCCAGTTATTTAGATGAAGTGTGTTCAAATATCTCTGGGCACGGAATAGGAGAAAATAGGGATGTCTAGGAGGGGAAAGGAGGGAGAGCAGTTCTGGCCAATTCAGTTGGATACATGGGGAGGGGAGAGGGGGAGCAGGGGAATAGGAAGGAAAGGGGGAGCCAGGTTATGGGGGCTAAGCTGGGGAGCCAGGATAACTCAGGAAAGGCCGCCTACTTCTTCTCTAGAAGCTTCTGGAGATCTAGAAAATATAAAAGGGGAAAAAAAGGAGGTTGTGAAGCCTAAGATGGTCAAGAAGGCCAAGACAGAGCTCCCGACAACCCAGAGCCCCCTGGGGCCATGTGTTAAAGATGGTCTCCTTGCTTTAAGCCCGCACTCAGTAAAAAGGGATGACGACCTGAACCAACTGTGGACCATTTGGCATAAGGCCCCTTACTTTGACCTTGGAGATCAGTCCTATGAGATTTGCTCCAGAGTCATGGTCACCTAGAGCCCTCCTCCTGATCCCCTGCCCCACATCAAGATCAGATCCCTTGCTTTACCACCAACCTGCAAAGAACAAAACAGGAAATATGAGAAACCAGAATTCTCTATTCTCGTCCAGTCTGGCTTTCTCACTTGGGGCAGAGCTTGGAGAGAATGTGTAGGGGGACCAAGTCCTCCCAACTGTTGGCTTCGGCCCACTGATGGTGCCTGAAGTGAGGTTTCCACACCCTTCCCCTCAGGTTCTGTGTTTACAGGCTTCACAAGGAGGGGTCTTCTCAGTGGTAAATGTTGCCTTCCAGAGTCAGAGAGATGTAGGTTTGACTTTTTGCTTCAGCACTTACTAGTTAAGTGACCTCAGGCATGACTCTGAACATCCAGGCCTCAGTTTCCTCTTACTTAAGAAGGGGAAAGTAAGGATTGAATGACATAATGTGTATAAGCTCCTGACCATAGTACCTGGCACACACAAAGTGACAAAGAAATACTAGTCATTACTCTTTGTGATGATGATAATATAGTGAGATCCTCTCCACTCCCTCATGAGGCCCCAGAACAAAAGCCACCTCTGGATGCACACGAGGGTAAGGAGCAGAAAGGGATATTGGTAAGGAGAAACCTGGTTCAGGGCAGAGCACACGACAGTTATTATGACCCAAGTTGAAATCCCAGCTCTGCCATTTATTTACTGACTGCTCTTGGGCAAATTATTTAATTTCCTTAAACCTCATTGTCCTTATATTTAAACTGGGGGTAATTTTATTTTTCTGAGTACACAAGAGAATTCAACCTCACAGTAGACATTCTATAAATATTAGTTTTCCTCCTTCCTACTAGATTGAAAAAAAAATGTGAAGGAAGCAGGAAGCAGCAAGCGAAGAACAGGGGGTCATACTTGGATGCTGTTGCCCAGTAGCCTCCCAAAACAGAGTCCCAAGACCCCTCTGTGTTCAAATTAATTCTAGCAGATGGGCCCACACTGTCTCCCTCCAGACAAACAAGGGGAGACCTGGAACCTGAGGTCATGGAGAAGAGGCGATGTCTGGCTGCTGACACCTTCCTTCAGGACATCATCCATGGGCCCCTTCCCTGGTGCAGGCGGGAATACAAATGGCTGACCAGATCCATACTTTTCCAGCATGGGGGTCTAAGGTCCATAGCTGTGCCTCTTTTCTCCAGGGCCTCCTTTCCTAATCCCCCTTAATCCTTTCTGCTCCTCCTCCAGGAGTCAAGGAAAAAGGAGTCCACAAATACTGCACTGCGTAGGAGGCCAGGATAGAATGAAGGGGGCCTTGGGCCTCCCCCCAAAAAAGACATCCTCCAGAGGGAAGCATAGGAGAACCCCCTTTCCTTCATAGAAGCAGAGGAAGCAGGACGAGATTCTGATCAGAGATCATTCCCCTAAAAATATCCTGCCCGCTGCTCCCACCCATCCAGGGCCTTCATTAAACGTCACACACGCATACAGGAGCCCTGGTAGAAGGGGGTAAGTCACGCTATGAGGCTCAGAGAGAAGCACTGGCAAGCAGGGCCTTAGCCCCTCGGGCCAGATGTGAGCAGTGGACCACGATAACCAAAACCAGTGACCCCTATGTCACCTTCTTTTCTTTGTGGTTCAAGGCCCAAGCCATCCCCCATGCAAGAGAGGGAACTGTGGAATCCCCTCACTGCATGGCCATTTGCTTTCGTCTCCTTTCATTCCCATCTAGGAGCTTCCCCCACCCCCAAACCCTGAAGGAGACAGATGGACCCACCAGGAGCCACATCCTGTGTTTGTCAACACTATTTATCCCTGAGAGGTACATGTCGGGTAGATAAGGCCCCCAGAGCCACAGCAGGATATGATGTCTCAGCAGCCAGCTTCCCCAGGGCCAATGAGCCCAGGAGGTCAGAAAGGAGAGAAAGAAGACAAATTCTTTGAGTTGGTGAGGAAGTGGTGCTATTTTTAGCCCCCAAAGCAGCACAGGATGGCTAAGCCTGTGGGAGAGAGACAGGACTTGAAGAGCTGGAGGTTATAGGAGACAAGATTCAGGGTTACATGGCCCTTTAAGGTTGGCTGGCTCCACCTGACCGGAAAAATGTGCCCAGGAGATTTTCTGCAGAATGGGGGAGGGGGCTCCTGAGCAAATGCTTCCCTTCAGGACGATAAGAAGAGGGTCCAGAAGCCCCCACCCCCAATCAAAGTCCCTGACTTTGGGAATCACCCGGATTCCCCAACCCTCCCCAGCGCAGGTGACAAGGTCATTAAGAAGCAGTGAGTTAACACATCCACCGACAGGGAGGTGGGATAAAAGAGCGGGGATATGCTGGAGCTCCCCTCCCTGTTACCGCTGGGTGACTGAGCCTCAGCCCCCACCCAGGAGGCCCAAGGCTGAACCTCCTCTCCCTACATCTTATCCCAGGGTTAGGAAGATGGAGCATTCACAGTTCTGAGGCGGAAAAAAGATGAAGGTGTCAGCTGAGAATGCACACAGCAGAGGACTACAGAGAGGGAGGGCCGCAGGCAGAGACCTCCAAAGCACGGGCATAGAGACCGCCCCAACCACTATTCATTTGCAGCAATAGCCCCCCAGCACCCCCTACCCCAGCTCGCCTCTGCTCTGGCATAAGAGAGGAGCGCCTAGAATTGACTGAACCCATTCTCTGAGTGCCTCCCTCCCCGCCCCCCGCCCCCCCCCCCGCCCCCTTAGTCCTGCCTCTGGGCAAGCGCCCATTATCACTCAACACCCCTTCCCCCGACCCGGGAGCGACGGCCCAAAGCCCCGCCATGCGCGCTTCAACCCGGGTTGTTTACCACCTCTCTACCCAACCTCTCCATTCTTCCTTTCCCTTCCCTTCCTCCTTCACCTGCCCTTCTTCCACTGCCCCCCCACCCACCCAAGTCCAGGAGCAGACTGAGGCAGTATCCATTCTCTGGCCCCAGCCAAGGTCACTTATCATTGGGTGGGGGGAGAGGGGGAGGGTGTGCAAGGTGAGGAGGGCATTGGACTTTGAGGGAACCCTATCCCACCTAAAAAAAAAAAACCCACCCCGTTAATATCTGAGAGGGTAGTAGCGACTTGGCTAAGGTAGAGAAAAACACCCTTACTCCATATATGTATTCTGATCAGCACGGCAACTGAAATAAATATCCATTCAGACCACCACCAGCGCCCTCGCCCCTAAAGCGGGAACGGTTACCTCCCCGCCCCCCCCAGCCAAGCAAAGCATCGGAGGATAAAATGGCTGCAAGGCAAGGCAAGGATGCTTCTGCCCCGGGCGGGGTGGAGGTAAGAGACTGAGAGAGGGGTCTCACCTGGCCTGGATGCCGCGGGGAAGGGAGTCCCGGGTGAGGGCGGGGGTCCCGGGCGCGGGGCTGGCGGCAGCGTCGACTGCTCCGGGTACCAGGGAAAGCGGCAATGCAGACCTGCCCCCCCATACACGCTCCGGCCCCGCCTCCGCCCGCCTCTTCCCTCCCCCCCGCCCCCCAGCGCCACTGAGCACCGGGAGAGACCATTGTTGGGGGGGTGGGGAGCGGCAGAAGAAAAGAGGATGGGGAGGGCCTCGGGGCACCAGGGGGCAACGATGAAGGGGCCAAGGGGGTTGTCACAGACACAGCTGGAGAGGACACACAGCCCTTCCCCAACCCGTTCCTAATAAAAGATGAAAGGCACTAAGGAAAGAAGAGTAATGTTAGGAAGACTAGTGGGAAGACAGAAAGGGAGGTGCGGAACAAGGCAGCCCCTTTCTCAGCGCCCCATTCCTAGGATGGCAGGCCTCAGGAATTTCAGGGGTTCTCTCTCCCTCCAAAGCACCTCCCTTCTTCCCCTTCTCCACTACTCCCAGCCCTACCCCTTTCCCACGACCCTCTCCGCAATCCGGAGGGCTCAGAATCCAAGTTTACCTGGCCATTTTAGAGAAAGCAAGAATAGCAAGGTTTTTAATCCTGACCTGCCAGAGGTAAGACTCCTGGATAGATCCCTGCCATCTTTCTCCAGAAACAGAAACAGCCCTGATTTTTTATTTCCAATGCAGACCTCCCATCCTCCATTCAGTTGGTGGCAGCAGAGGTGAGTAGGGGAAGAAGCTGAGGGGGATTTACAGGCCTAACCAACTGGACATTAACCCTTCTATTCATTTGCTCCACTGACTCAAAAAGGGACTCCCTCGATGCTCCATCCAATTCCTTTTAACACACACACACATACACACACACTTCTGCTTCTGGGGCAGGAAGGAACGAACTGGTTTCAGTTCTGATAAAAGTGAACTTTTGCCTAGTGACCACTTCACATGACCAGTCAATGAAGAATCTAGCCCTGCTTATCAGCACCAATGAACCTCTTTTTAAAAGCAACTTATCTAGGGATCCCTGGGTGGCTCAGTTGGTTAAGCATCTGCCTTCTTGGCTACAATTCTCAGAGATCCCAGACATACCACTTGGTGACTGACCCTGCTGGTTAGGTGAACCTTGTGGTTTGGGATATATATATACTGAATGTGTCTACCTATTCTAGGTGAGGGCTTAGGATATTTTGGACAGAGCACTGACTAGAGGCTCTGACCTGGGTTCTCACTTCGGTAAGCTGTGGGCTCTTGCTCAGGTTCTCTGTCTCCGTGAACTTCAGTTTTCTCATCTGGAAAATGGTGCGCTTGGACTAGATGCTGCATCAGCTCTAATAGTGTGTGATTCTACCTTACTAAACATGGAGGTTTCAGAATGCGGAAACATGGTACATGGAGAGGCCTGGCAGGCTGTGTCCTAAGAGAGCTCCAGGTGGGATTTGCAGTGTTGAATGTACCACTAACAGGAATGTCAGTCTAAAAACAAGAAACCAGTTCAAAAGGCAAAGTGTTTATTTCGGATCAAAGAATTGCAATTCAGTGTACATAGACTTAGGTTGAAACCCAAACAGTGTCCCAATTACAGGAGGTGGACTCAGGGTTTTTATTGGGGAAAAAAGGAAGATTAGATCAGTTGCTTTTATTTTTTTGAAGATTTTATTTATTTATTTATTTATTTATTTATTTATTTGTCAGAGAGAGAGTGCACAAGTAGGGGGAGCAACAGGCAGAGGGAGAATCAGGCTCCCTGCTGAGCAAGCAGCCCTGATGTGGGACTTGATCCCAGGACCCTAGGATCAGGACCTGAGCCGAAGGCAGATGCTTAACCAACTGAGCCACCCAGGGATCCCTAGATAAGTTGCTTTTAAAAAGAGGTTCATTGGTGCTGATAAGCAGGGCTAGATTCTTCATTGACTGGTCATGTGAAGTGGTCACTAGGCAAAAGTTCACTTTTATCAGTTTTTTCAAAGGAGATTTTTTTCGTTCCTGTGGATGTCTTGGACTGTTGGCAGTTTGGCCCAGTTCGAGGTTTAGAAAACAGGATGTGCAAGGCAGTTCCGCTGAAATGACTGTTCGGGCTCAATTTTAAAAATGGCTCCCGTTATGTCATTTTTCATAGGGCTGTGGGCCTGGGTTTCACAGACTTCAAAGCTACATCTTGGAAATACTTGACTGTGCCAATGAAGTTTACAGTCTACTGAAATACGAAGCCATGATACAGAAGTATTAATTTACCATGAGAAATTTTCCTGTTGCTCAGACTCATATCCAGCACATTCTCTTCTTTAAGCCAAATTAGAATCAGAATGTCAACATATAAATGCACAATGACATAACTGAACAGGAATATTTTTATCTTTAATGGCATCCAGCCATCCCCAGTAAGGAGTCGTGCCAATGGGTTCAGAAAACTCTTCTTGGCTACAATTCTCCACCCCCATCTCTATTCTATGGGCAGCCTTGCCAGTAACTCCTGGACTACTCTAATTCTGTTGGCTAAAGCACTGTTTCCAGAATGGTATTTAGAAAGTCTGTGCCCGCATGGGCCTCAGGGACTCTCCCTTTACTAGGCTTCCATTGCTGACCTCTCTTCAGCTTGGTACTTTATTTAAATATGTTAATATTTTCAATTAGGTTACAGCCAAATCTTCTTGCTGGCAGGGAGCTGGTTCTTCTCTTTAAGGTGACTTTGCATACTCTCCACTCATCCATTACTTGCTAAAATAGAAATCCTATAGTCATAGAGAGAAAGGTTGTATATATTTTTCCAGTTCTGAGGAAAGACTTGATCATTTTTCCCAGGAACCACAGACCCATGCACCCCACCAGCTACTCCTTCATTGTCTCTTTGCTGAGTCCATTAACATAAGAGTTCCTAAGGTGTCAGTCCCGGCCCCTTTCCCCCTTCCACCTGCTCTATCCTCACTTGTCAGCTCCGACAGTCTTGGACTTGCAGACCTTTCCACCAAGCCCAAATTCAAAATCTCCCATCTGTCAACTCAATATCACTGCATGGATACCTCCTTAGCATTTCAAATGTGGTATGTGTAAACAAGCTTCCGAATGAGGTCTTAACTCTTCACCAAGGTGTTCAGGCCAGAAACCTTGGAATTATCCTTGTTTCCTTTCTTTATCAAGTCTTGTTAGCCCCATTTCAAAATATATCCTGAAATCTGTCACTTCCCCACTACCCCCTAGTCTAACCCACCATCATCTTATCCTTTGCCACAGCAGCCTCTTAACTGATTTCCCTACTTCCAATGTTGCTCTGTTAAAACCCATTATTCTCAGTGGTGGGGGTGATCCTCTAAAATCAAATCTGATCCAGCAGATACTCTCCCAAGAGAAATGAGTGCGTGTGTCCCACAAAAAAGACAGGCATGGGTATTTTCCTAGCAGCTTCATTCATCATATTCAAAAACTTCAAACGTCTATCAGCCAAAGAATGGTTAAACTTAGATAAACAAATTGTGGTATATTCATATAGGGAATACCACATGACAAATTTTTAAGAGACTGAAATACTATATGCAACGGGATAAAAAGATCTCACAAACAAAAGACTGAGCAAAAGAAGCTGAACCAAAAAGATACATACTATATGATTCAATTTATACAAAGTTCAAGGACAAGCAAATTAATCTACAGCGATGGAGAAAGTAGAGGCTACCACCAGGAAATGGAAATTGTGAAGGGGCACAAGGGAGCCCTCTGGGTGCTGGAAATGTACTAACATCTTGATCTAAAGGGTGGTTAAAGGGCTGTGGGGGGTAGTACATATGTAAAAATTCACTTAAGACCTATGTGTTTTTCTGAATATGTTAAACTGCAATTTTTAGAGAAAGTTTTAACGAGATTTTACCACTCCCCTTTCTTTAAATCCTCCAGTGGCTTCCCACTGTACGAAGAATTCTATCCGAACTCCTAATCAAGGCCTAAAAGGCCATGTGGGATCTGGCCCCACCTGCCTCCCCAACCTTCTTCCTCATATCTCTGCTTCCGCCTCACTGGTCTCCCTGCTGTGCCCGCAACATGCCCAGTGCAGATGCCGCAGAGGACCCTGGCACTGGGGGGTCCCGCTGCCTAGGACTCCCTTCTCCCAGATCTTTGCCGTATCATGCATGCCTTCACTAAAAAGTCGCCTCTTCAGATGACGCTCCCCCTTCCCAGTCACTATCCTATCATCCTGCTTTGTTGTTTTTTCTTACAAGATATCCCTCTATAAAATTATTATTTATTTACTTTTTTAATTTTTGCCTTCTCCTACTTAGATTGTTGGTTCTAAGGGAGCAAGGACCTCCTCTGGCATATTTACGCTATATCCCCGGGATCCACTAAGTAAACACTTAATGAAAGAGCATTCCAAATAGGTTAAAGATTATTACCTTTAGTGCCTGTGATAAATGTCTGCTTACTCCCACTAAATATGAGTGTTGAACTAATAGGTAAAGAATTTGTTTGAAGGAGGGCGCCTGGGTGGCTCAGTTGGTTAAGCAACTGCCTTCGGCTCAGGTCATGATCCTGGAGTCCCGGGATCGAGTCCCGCATCGGGCTCCCTGCTCAGGGAGGAGTCTGCTTCTCCCTCTGACCCTCCCCCCTCTCATGCACTCTCTCTCATTCTCGCTCTCTCAAATAAATAAATAAATAAATCTTAAAAAAAAAAAAAAAGAAAGAATTCGGGCTCCTGGGTGGCTCAGTTGGTTAAGCGACTGCCTTCGGCTCAGGTCATGATCCTGGAGTCCCAGGATCGAGTCCCGCATTGGGCTCCCTGCTCGGCAGGGAGTCTGCTTCTCCTTCTGACCCTCCTCCCTCTCATGCTGTCTCTCATTCTCTCTGTCTCAAATAAATAAATAAAATCTTTAAAAAAAAAAAAAGAATTTATTTGAAGGAATATAAGTCAATTGCCTACTGAGAGTTGCCCCATGTTTTGTCTCTTTTCCACAACAGCTTATATTAAGAGGGGGAAATAAGACTATGGCCCAGGAGGTGGTAAGTGGGTATGTAGGGATGATGAGCATTTACCTGACATGGACACTTTTCTGACCACTTTATACTGACCACATTACTCAACCCACCTCCCCATTAACCTTATGAGATAATCACCATTTACAGATGATGAGATTGAGGCCCTGAATGCCTAAGTAACTTGATATAATCACACAACTCAGAAGTGGCAAAACTAGGATTGGAACCTAGGCAATATAGACTCAGAGCCCTGATGCTTTCAAAATGTATCCATTTGGGGTGCCTGGGTGGCTCTCAGCTCAGGTCCTGATCCCAGGGTCCTGGGATCGAGCCCCGCATCGGGCTCCTTGCTCGGCAGGAAGCCTGCTTCTCCCTCTCCCACTCCCCCTGCTTGTGTTCCCTCTCTGTCAAATAAATAAATAAATAAAATATTTAAAAAAAAATTTTTTTTAAATGCATCCATTTAAAGCATACAGTTCAATGGGTTTTAACAATGGGTTTAACAATGGGTTTTAATTTAACAATGGGTTTTAACACCCATGTAAGCACCCCCTTGATCAAGATCATTTCCTTTGCCCCCAAAAATGCCCTTGCCCCTCTGCAGTCAATATCCCCATCCCTGGCAACCACTGATCTCCTTTTGGTCACCATACATTAGATTTGTCTTTTCTAGAGTTTCATAGAAGTAGATTCATACAGTATCTAGGTCTCTGGCTTCATAGCTCTGGGTTTTAGAGCTTTCCAGGGTTTTTAACCACTGCCTTATAAAACTTCCTGGTACACTTTGCCCACTTACCCAACAAACTGGCTACTTCACATCAGCCGCCGCCCTGCATTCCATCACTGCTTCTACCCACCACACTCTAAACACATGAGATTGTCAGGATGGGGAGAGTAAAGGGACAAAACAGGGTCAATGACAGCACCTCTAAGATACCATAAAGTTCCAGGGAGAGATGCTAACAAGTGACGCACAAAAAAAGCTCCTGTCCTTTAGGAGTTTATAACCCGGTTAAAGAGAGAATATCTTATAAGAAAGCTGATAAGTGGGTGCCTGGGTGACTCAGTCGATTAAGCGTCTGCCTTCGGCTCAGGTCATGATCTCAGAGTCCTGGGATCAAGTCCCCCATCAGGCTCCCTGCTCCTCGGGGAGCCTGCTTCTCCCTCTGCCTCTCTCTCATGAATAAATAAATAATCTTTTTTTTAAAAACCTGACAAGTAGCAAAGGAAAACATTCATTCAACAAGTATCTATTCAGTAAATATAATATAGTATAATATGACTGCAGCAATTGGCTCTAGGGTTCAGGCAGATCTTGGTTCAATTACTGCATCTCTCATTTCTTAGCATGTGACCTTGGTCAAGTAACTTAGTATCAGTTTCCTGATCTTAAAATGGGGGTAATAACAAAACCTACCTCAGGGGATTGTTATGAGGATTAATGGAGGATAATGCAGGCCTTAGGAGAGGACCTGGCCTATTAGTAAGAGTTCAGTAAGTATTAGCTGTTATTATTTTTACAATTATTATTGTATATCCCAGGCACCTTCCAATACTCTCGGGAGATAGTTTAATAGAATGAGATTCCTGGGGCGCCTGGGTGGCTCAGTTGGTTAAGCAACTGCCTTCGGCTCAGGTCATGATCCTGGAGTCCCGGGATTGAGTCCCGCATCAGGCTCCCTGCTCAGCAGGGAGTCTGCTTCTCCCTCTGACCCTCCCCCTCTCATGCTCTCTATCTCATTCTCTCTCTCAAATAAATAAAATCTTAAAAAAAAAAAAAAAAGAATGAGATCCCTTAAGGGTTCAGTGTAATACAGGGATTCTTAGATTGGGATCCATGAACCTTGTGGAATTTTTGCTTCAGGATATTGAATACATATGCAAATATGTCTTTTTCTTGGGTAGGGTCCATAGTTTTTGTCATAGTCTCAAAGCTGTCTGTGGCCCATAAAATATTAAGGACCCCTGGTCTAGAGCATGAATTCTTAATAGGGGTGGCATCACCCCCTGCCCAGCGGTCAAAAACTAGTTTGGGGCGGCAGGAATCTTAGCTACAACAGTGGTTTGTGTCCCCCCCAAAGGGCCCTAGTACATAAACAGATATACAGCAGGTCTGTGATATTAAAATTTCATGCATGGGGGAGGGTAATTTGAAAACAATGTCTCGTGGTGGGGGTGGGAGGGGGCAATAATAAAAAACGTAGTTGAAAAACCCTGGTTTGGTAACAAACAGATGTGTGAAGTGAGGTAAAGAAATATAGGAGCAATGTAGTCAGGCGTCTGAAACAGCCGGGGCGGGGGTGGGGGCGGGAGAGCTGGGGGTGGGTAGGGCTGAGGGGGAGAGCTGCGGGGGGGGGAGAGCTGCGGGGGGGGGAGAGCTGCGGGGGGGGGAGAGCTGCGGGGTGGGGGGGAGAGCTGCGGGGTGGGGGGGAGAGCTGCGGGGGGAGTCAAACTCAGCGGCTGGAGGAGGCACTCCAAAATTAGTGCTGACTGAATGAGAGCGCAGAGATTCTGGGCGTGAGCGCCTGCGGCAACGGGGGCTCGGCCGGGAGAAGGCGGGAATTCCGCAAAGGCACGAACGCGCTCTGTGACGCTGTGGAGTCGTCCGCGCGCCGTCTCTCAGGTAACAGCCGAAAACACCACGCAGGCGCTTAGGTGAAAAACCCAGCCGGAAATCATGGGCTCCAGGGTAGCCGTCCCTGACGTCCTCGCGGAGGATCAGCTGGAAGTCAGTTCAGGGGACAGACGCCGTGGAGGCCGAAAGGACACGCAGGCTGAGGCAAAGCCTCGCACCGCCTGGCGCGGCGCCCGGGGCCCCGCGGGAGCCAGCTGCTGGCCGGGCCGCCTTCCCAGCGCCGGGACCTCCGCTTCCCACCGCAGCCAAGCAACTGCGGAGCGCAGCTCTGTTTGAAATGAAGAGGTCCATTAAGCCCATTGCGACTCAGAAGCCTGGCATCCTTAGCCATCCACCGTGTGAAATAGTCATGCCGAATCTTGACAACTATCCGCTAGATGACCCCATTTGCCTGTGTCAACTCACCTCAAAGCCAACATACCCAAAACTGAACTTACCATTTCCATCCCGCTCCCCCAAATTCTTCCTGCCGCATACTCTCGTGCTGATTGCACTCTCCCTTTCATTTCCCGACATCCACTCTGACTCCTCATCCTGCTATTTTGCCCTTTAAATACCTCGCCGACGACATATCCCTTCCTCTCCATCCCGGCTCCAATCACAGCCCTCCTTTAGGACTTCATCGCTCACCCGCATTATTGCCAAATGGCCAACCTGGCACCTTGCCCCCAGTCTTCTCAGACCTTTTCTCCCCACTGCTCCCGCCATTCCAAACTGCAAACCTGTCACTCCCTTGCTTAAATTCCCACTGTGGCTTCCTCTCGTGGACAGCAGCTTCCTGCAAACAGTGTGCGTGACAGTGGCGCTCACGTGGGAATTCCCTCAGCACTTTGGGCTGCTAAGCAGAGCCTGGACGGCAAGAATTCCTGAGCCAGTAGCTTCCGGCCCGAAGCAGGTTCTCCGCCCTGGGACAAAGGGCAGGGAGTCCCCCAGCTAGCTCTGACACCCAATTTGGGGCATTATCTACTGTGCCATCCAGCAATCTCTGCTTCCACTCAGAAACACCCCGTCCATCTGGAATGAGCTTCCCTTTCACCCCCTGGCAAACTTCTACCCTTCCTTTAAGATTACATGCAAATGTATCACTTTTTTCCCAGGAAATTTTCCTGGACTTTCATACCCGGTTAGATACCCTTCCTCATGCTCTCAAAATGTTTTGTTTCATAATAATCTTGTAGGTGTCGGCCTACTCCCTCGGTAAGAGCAGAACAGAACTGCCTTGCTCGTCTTTGTATTACTCAGCTGCCACCCGCGGGGGTCTCGTAGCCATCAGGTTACGTGAACGAGAACGATGCAAGAGAACGAGGGGCAGGCTCACCTTTTTCACTTTTTGCCTAGACTTCAGGAAAGTTCACAGGCACATAAACCAGAAAAAGAGCTTTAGGAAAAGGGCGGTATCAGAGGATTAAATGCAACGAAGAACAGAAAGAAGGCCATTGGATTTGGTCTAATTACTGTAAGTCTTTGAACACAGATTTAAATGGGATGGAAGTCAGGTCTGGAAGGACTGAGAATGAAAAAAAAAATAGGAATAAGATCCAAATCCCTTATCCATGATGTCTGAAGGTAAAGAATGGAAGAAAATGAAGGTTTACTGAGTTCCTACGGTCCCAATTTCCAATTGCAACGGTTTTGCAATTATGTAAGATATTTATTTATACGGTGTCAAAGGAAACCAAGTTTATGCTCGGAGAAATCTGGCTTCCCTCCATATCGCCCCACCCCAGTGATATCAATTTCCATTCATCTTTGGTTTATCTATTTTTAAAATACAAATGTACAGATCACGTACCACCTCTTGGATGAGGTAGCATATTACACATTCTGTTCTGGTACTTTCTTCACTTGATGTATGCTGGAGAGCTCTCCATAACAGTATATAGTCTTTCCTCACTTTTTATTGCTGCTATGTAGATTTACCAGTTTGTTCAACCAGTTCCTTACCAACAGACAGGAGAGTTGTTCCAGCCTACTGTCATTACATACAGTTCTGCAACAGGTGGCTTTGTGCACGTTACCTCGTATCTTTGCCAGCACTATCTCCAGGAACTTCACTTTTGTCCTCGCATCATGGTCACAATCACCTTGTGTCACGGCTACTGGATCTCAGCTTATAAACTAAACATAGCCTTTTAAAAATGCAATAAGCAGGAGCGCCTGGGTGGCTCAGTCATCAAGCGTCTACCTTCGGCTCAGGTCATGATCCCAGAGTCCTGGGATCGAGGCCCGCATCGGGCTCCCTCCTCCACGGGAAGCCGCTTCTCCCTCTCCCACTCCCCCTGCTTGTGTTCCCTCTCTCGCTGTGTCTCTCTCTGTCAAATAAATGAAAAAATCTTAAAAAAAAAAATGCAATTAAGCATCCTCACTCCTACCTTACCATTCCTCTCCCAACATACTGACCTCTCTCTTCCTAGAGAAAAGAGAGAAGTTACTCTGCCAGGGAAAACAACACGAAGAATAAACAAGGAGTTTAGTTTTATTTTCTCTGTGCATTTGTAAAACACTTAGGACCAACACAGAAAAAAAATAAAACCTCCTGTGAAAAACATTACACTTAAGGGAAAAAAAAAAAAGGCCTGAGAGGGATTAGTGCCTTAGCCATAGGGAGCTACAGCAACTCTGATTGGTCCAAGGAATTGAAAAGATATTGGGAAGATAGAACAGGAGGCAAGAGAAGAAGAAATTACTGAGGAAGAGGGCCTCGAAGTGGGCCACGAGGGGGAACTGGAGGCCGGGGGGTGGGCCGGGGTGGAGGGAGGGGCCCCCGCTGGTAGCCATAGGGTGGGGGTCGTGGAGGCCCAGTGTATCCATGAGGAGGCATCAGTGGAGGAGGTCCACGCATCCCATGTGGAGGCATAGGACCTGGGTGACCTGCACAAAGAAAAAGAAATCAGTCAAGGCAAGAAATAGGAAGTGCTGATGTTGGGCGAATGTATGGAGAACACCGACAGGGAGACCATGAGCAGAAATGGAAATAAAGGGCAGGGGACAGGGCTGTGACAAAGGAAGCTGCAAGACTATGATACTCGAGGATGAGGAAGGTGGCTAGAGCCTACTTACCCATGGGAGATCCAAATGGAGGCCCTCGAGGGGGCATGCCCATTGGAGGAGGTCCAGGATGAGGCATTCCAGGTGGCGGTCGGGGTGGTGGCTGCCCCCCAGAGCCTGGGGGCCCAGCATGGGGGTGTCCTAAGCCATGAGGGCCATGGTGGGCCAGCTGCATCTGAGACATCCCTGTGAGAACAAAACAAACACAAAGAGAAAGGAGACAAAAGGAATACAGAGAGCAAAGAAAATGGAGAAAAGAAGAGAACAAAATTGAGAAAGAAGTGACATCAGAAGTATGGAAAATAAGGCTGGTACAAAGTGCCTTTATCCTCAACCCCATTCCAAGGGTACAAACAAATCAACTACCTCCCCCAATCAACTGCTCACCCACTTCACTTGCTCCTTCCATGATTTAAACGCTATAACAGTGCTGCAGAAATATGTAACAGATGGAGTGATTATTCCACTGACAGGATGTGGGAAGGTAGCAGAGACACTGAGTAAAGATCTAATTCTAAAGAATGAGTAAGAATTTTTCAAGTGGACAAGAGAGTGGACTAGAACACCCCAGGCAGGAAACATTAGCATGTGCAAATCACAGGGGCATCAAATAGCATAGTATGTTCAGGGAAAACCAGTAACTCAGAAATAAAGAGCAGCATGTAGTCATGGGAGTAACTGGCAGGCAACGATCCTGAAAAGCCTAGAATGCTATGGTGACAAGTTTGACTCTGTAGGTGAAAGGGAGCAACAGAAGAATTTCGAGCAAGGGTGTGTGAACATCTGTGTTTTAGAAAAATGACTCTGTGCAAGTGGATCAAAAACAGGGAAACTGGAGTCAAAATGTTAGGAAATTACTACAATAAACTAGGTGTGAAATAATGAGTCTGAGGGGGCCTGAACTAGGGCACTGGCAGTGGGGGCCAATGCCAGAAATATTAATAAGACTTGGTATCTAGAGTGGGGTGATAGCAAGTTGTTAAAAATAGTTCCCAGATTTCTGAATTAAGCATCTGAAAACAAAAATACTAGAGGAAGAATTGGTTTGAAGGAAAGGCTAGAAAAGTGGAGCTGTCCATCAGGCAGCAGGATTAAGGGTCATGGACCAGACACACATATCTAGGAGGCATCAGTGTACAAGTCATGGAACTATGCAGAAAAGAGAACCAAATACAAAAACCTAACTACATGGAGAGGGGGAAAGGACGCCTATTAAGGTGGCTAAGATTAATGAATCAGACCTAGATGAAGAATCCAGAAAAACCAAGGGACAAGATTTTCAAAAAGGATGACATGCCCAGTTTCAGGTACACCAAAGGGCAAACCAGATAAGGAATGGAAACACCCCCTAGATTTGACAATTAGGTTACTGCTTTGGGAGAGAAGTCAGAGGACAGAAATGATGTAAAAGTTAAAGGGAAAAAACAGCAAGCACAGTAATACTCTTTGGATAAACTTACACAAGAAATGGAGACAGGGTGGTAGTTGTTAAAGTAAACAGACAGCAGTATTTTGTGTTTGTTTTTATAAACTAACGTCTGAAGAAAAGTAGAGCTCTGGGACTATCCATTATTATTATTGCTGAGGGACACGGGCAACACCATAAGTGGCAATAGAGCTCCTCCACCAGGCTCATCCCTCCCTTCCCCAGCAAAGAACACCCACCTGGATGGGGCATCCCACCCGGTGGGAATGGGTGAGGATGTGAGTGTCCATGTCCAGGATGTCCAGCCCCTGGGGTTCCTGCTGATGGTGGGCCATGTCCTCCAGCCCCAGGAGGCATAGGTGGTGGGGGCATGGCTGGGGGTATCCCAGGTGGAAGGGCTCCAGGAGGCGGCACTGGGGGTGGGAAGGACCCAGGAGGAGGCATGCCTACAGAGGAAATGGAAGAAGAGTTAATGATAGTAAGGAGAGAATGTCTTTAGAGAAGCCTGTTCAGTCTGGCCTCTTCAGGCAAGATAAGCTCCCTTCCCTTCCTCCCAGCTCTCTAAAGTCAGAAGCAATACTAGACAACTCTGAACAACTTCAGCCTCCTCAAGTCAACGACTTTCTTCCCCACCACAACTGTCGTACCTCACTCCTTTTCTCATCACCTACTGACTCCACGTCCCCCTTTATCCAGTTCTTTATCCTTCCTCCTGCCCCACCCCCACCACACCCCAAACCCAAGACAAAAATATTTTGAATAAAAGCTTTACCTGGTGGAGGAAGCCCGGACCCCAATGATGATACCACAGGATTGGGAGCTGAGGGTGGAGGGGGTGCATCTGCAAACAGCTGATGAGGGCGGTCTGCCTGGGAGAGTGGGTTCTGGGCTGCCAGAAGTCGTTCAGCTGCTGAGCCATGGCGCTCACCCTTGGAGTCCTTCTTGAAGGCATAGGACACAGTGATAGGGCGGTTACAGAGATACTGCCCATTCATGGCCTCAATAGCTGCATCCGAAGCATCAAAGGAAGCGAAATTAATAAAGGCATAACCTTTGGAGTTGCCTGTGTCAGGGTCCCGCATAATCTTCGGGGTTTGTAAGATGACCCCAAAGGCGCTGAAAGTATCATAAAGCAGCTTCTCATCAATCTCCGGATCTAGATTGCCAATGAAAATGTTGGCCCCCACGTCCAGATTCTTGTTGTGAGCTGATGCTTTGTTCACCCGTATTGGTTTCCCATAGAGTTTGATCATGTTCATGATCTTAATGGCATAGTCAGCATCTTCCTCACTCAAGAATTCCACAAAGCCATAGCCTGGGAAGCAGAAGAGTGGAGATTAACAACTTAAGTGATTCAAAACTGGGTATAACTCATTCACCTTCCAAAACACAAAGAACATGAAATAACAACCTCACTTCAACTGAGAATGGTTCCAGAAGCAAACTGTGAGCTACGCTTAAAAGGAAGAACCTGCAAGTGATTCATTCCAAACAGCTACGAAAACTGCTGGAATCCTCCAGGCACAGTTTGTCCCCCCAATACGTAAACACACCTCTTGTCATATACTCACCTTGGTGCTGACCTGTGACTCTATCCTTTGGCATGTGGGTGTTGACTACTGGCCCTGCCTGGAGAAATAGCTCCCACAGCAATGGTTCGCTAACCTTCTCGTCCAGGCCCCCGACGTAGACAGTGGCATCTGGAGGATAGGAGCAGGAGATTGGGGCAGGGATGAGATAATGACAGGAAACAAGGAGGTGACAGGCGGGGAAATGGGAGTGGGGATGGGGTATACGAGCAAATGGGAAAAAAAAGAAAGTTAAGCCCTTACACCTCTTTCCAGAACTAGAGAACCTTAAGTCTAACCGAAGGTTTTGCTGCAAATTCTCTGTCAACTGCTTTGTTTCTGGTTTTTGTTTGCTCGTTTGTTTTTTTGAATGACAAGGCAGAGGGGATTGGGCAGAGCATCACACCTACAGGCCTCAGCCTGCACCCGGCCACCCCGCCCCCAGCAGGCACGGCAGCCGGTCTCCCGCCCTCCGGGGGAATCGGATCTCTAGACCCGGCGAAAACACTGCTGGCCCTAGTCGAGGCCTCCCAGCTCCCCTGGGCCCATTCCGGGTTCCCCCTCCAATCACCCTGGTTCCGCTCGGAGATCGGCCCGGCCGCCATGGCGAAAGAGCTCCCGCCGTCTCCAGGCAGCGATCCCGCCCTCTGACCGCAGTCACTACTTCCACTTCCGGGGCGAAGGCTGTCGTGAGGGTGGTGGGCGGGCCCGTGGCGGGGGAGGAGCCGGAAGTGGCCGCGGCCATCTTAGAAACTGTGGAGAAGACGTGATTCGTGGGACCCGCTTCTCCGGCTTATGGTCCTGTGCGGAGTTGCCGTTGCGAGCGATCAAAGCGAGGAAGGCAGAATGGAAATTCCCAGACCTTCTTAAGGCAGTGCTAGGCGTTAAAGGATCACAGTGCTCCCAAAAATGTAAATTCGGGAGCTAAAAGAACAAAACTTGACTTTTTAAAAATATTTTGTTGGCCAACGATCCTTATTTTGTTCCCCGGATAAGGGTGTGCTGAGGAAGCCTCCCCCCCCATCCTAAGGATTCGCCTGTCTTAGGTCACGGAGGGAGCCGTCACCTTGGCCCGCCGCCTGTGGGCAGCTGCGGCCTCGGCCCCACCCTGGGCTTGAGGCGTTTCGTTTTTCCTCAAGGGAGAGGTTTGCGGAACGTCTGAGCTGGGGTGACGTCCAAGCTCACCTAGTCCTATTGCATGGGGGGTGATGGAAACCTGAGGCCCAGAGACGAAGTGTGACCAAAGCCGAGGGGTGGTTGACGTTGGAGTCCAGAGGCCTCAGTTTCAACCGCCAGAACACCCCAGGCCCAGCAACAATGTCTTGGTATGCTCTTCGCCCCATCTTCTCTAAAAAGTTGCGTGTGGACTTGGCCTGACCTAGCCCCATATTTCCTTAACAGTAAAATGGTGGGTCCCATCCTCTTCCGGTTCATACCCATCAATTTCTTAACCTAGGATCTTTTATTCAGACACAAGAGATAACGCCAGCACCGTGTATAAATACTGTTTTTTAATGAACTCCTTAAATAGAAATGATACTACAAAATATACAATTGGCAGAGACAGGGTGCCTCCCATACCCACTGCATACCCATAGAAAACTAAAGGGAAGAAACAAACTGGAATTACAGAAGCAGCCAGAGGAGGTGAGAATGAGTTCTGTAGGCCATCTTGTTAGAACTGATGAACAACATCTCTCGTCTCACAATTTAACAGCTGGATATCCAAAGGGATAGAATTGCCCTGAAAAAAACCAAAGGTAATCGTATTCTGGATTGCTTTTGTTTCTTAATTCCTGAAATCCTAAGAAACCTATCTCGAAGAACGGAACTGGACAGGGCAACTAGGAGAAGGTTAGCACCACCCATCTGCAACGGAAAGCCAGGTCAGTGAGCTTGTTGAGGGCTGGAGTGTCAAAAGCTGAGACAGCAAGAACAGGTAAGAAAAATTGGAGGATTAAAAAGAACCCTCCCTCACCCCAGATCACCCTATGCCGTGCCCATAAAAAAGACAGCGATTTCAACGGGATTGGGAGACAATGGTATTTGGATCTCTTTTCTTGGAATGATCCTCAGGAGATATTCTTGGTGTCCATTTCCTTAAAAGCTCCTGAAGTTGGGATAGCTCATCCTGGAGGCCAGAGACTGTGGGAGCTGAGAGGCCTTTCTGGGGAGGGGGTGAAGAAAGGCAGAGAGGAGTATTATTACAGCTCTAGCTCCCTGTTTCTGAGAGCTGTCCATTACTTCTGGTATCTTTTTAAATTATTATTACTATTATAATTGACATACAATATCCTGTTAGTTTCAGGTGCACATCCTAGTGTTTTTTTATACTTTTATAAAATTTTATAAAATTATACTTTTATACAATTTTATACAAAAAAGTTGATCTTTGTATACCTTACAAAGTGATCCCCATGAGAAGTCTAGTTCCCATCACCTCTGGCATCTTTAATTCTCTTTCCTCCTCCCAACTATGCCCTAGGTTCTACTTGATCTGAACCATAAGCAGTCTTTCCCATACATACACACACACTCCCAAACTTATCCACTCTGATACCAACAGGAATGGTAGTTCACTCCTCAGTCCCCCCAGCCCCTTGCTTTTACAGCACCTAAAAACATCTGGTTTCTCCCAGAACATTTGGCTTAGCAGTCAAGCCCCTTCTCCCACTCCCTATCCCTATCCCTGTCTTCCCTCCTTACCTGGACCTCAGGCCTTCCCCTCAGGTAGCAGCGTCTCCACAGCCTGATCTGGGGTCCCAGATACCCAGGCAGCAGCAACCCTGGGGGTAAAGGGCAAGCTCCCCAGTGTGAGGGGAGCCCCCACTCCTGATCAGCCAGACTTTCAGAGGAGATAGCAGGTCGAGGGAGCCAACGAGAAGAGACTGCCAGCAGGGAGGGACTGTCCCGCCAAGGACAGAGCTGATTCAGGGGCATCAGAGCCCCTCTGGAGAAGAGCCACACAGAACTGGGGGGTCCAGGAACCATGAAGTTTGGCTAAAGGGAAAAGAGAAATCAACTGGCAACCTAGAAACCAGATGACCCCACTTTCACAAAACTGCGTCAGGAAGGAATGTCTACCTGCCACCTACTCACTGCATTAGTGATCAAACTATAGGACTCCCCCTGAGAACTCTTTCTCTACTCCTCATTAGGTTTCAAACTAGGCCTCAGGTCTGATTCAATTTTAGGGAAACTTATAAAATGTGTATAAGAAAGGGGTTGCCTAGGTGGCTCAGTCAGTTAAGCATCCAACTCTTGATTTCAGCTCAGGTCATGATCTCAGGGTTGTGAGATCCAGACCCACATCGGGCTCTGCGCTCGCTCAATGGGGGTCTGCGTGAGATTCTCTCTCCCCCGCCCCAAACCGACATTCACATGCTCTCTTTCTCTAAAATAAGTAATAAGTCTTAAAAAAAAAAAATGTGTGTAAGAGAAAAACTAATAAAGATGAGGACAATCCTCTGTGCTATTCTAGGATTTCTGCCTTCCTGGGGACAGTCAGAGACTCTAAGTGACAGCTACAGAAGTGTGGGGCAGTTTTCCCTGGGGAACTCAAGACACCGTGTCTTTCTACTTCTCCCTCTCTAATAGAATGAGCCTGTGAGAAAGTCAAAGGAACTTAGGAAGACACCTCACCTGCTGTCTAGGGAGCCAGGAATCTGGGCAGTGTTCCGGGTCATAGCCAGGGTTATGGAATTGTAGTATCTGTTCACTGCTGTAGCGTAAATCCCAGTCCCAGACAGACAGCTGTGGGTTAACAGAGTTCCCAGCAGGGAGTTGGGAGTACCCTGCGGTATAGATTTGTGTATAGCAGTTGAACTGGACAGAGGAAACAAGAAAAACGGTGGTTAAACAAACAAAAAAGTAATCCTTTTCCCAAGTCTGGAGAAAAATTGTGAAAAGCTCACCTCTTCCTCTGGGAATCAGATGTAGGGTGAAAATCCAGTCATGCGAATGAGCACCAACCTCCCCCTTTCCCACCCACAGACCTCACTTTCCATAAATCAACACTAAACTTCAGAGGGTATTTCTCAAGGAGAAGAAAAGGCAGCTCAGAAATGGAAGTCACTGACCTGTCCACTCTGCTTTCCACGTTCCCACGGAGTATCTCTCAAGAATGTGAGAGTGTCAGGAACCCTGGCACTGTCATGAAGAGCAAGAAGGAAAAACTCTGAGAATTCAAACTCAGCTGGAAACTGCTGGAGGAGCTGCCAGACACAATCAAGGAAGAGGAGAAACACTGGAGCCTGAGAAGAGGCAAAGTGAGAGGTTAGAAGGCACCTAAAGGGGGAGGATGACAAAATGATGGGGGACAAGGGACACAGCCAACAGGGCCACTAAGGTCAGGGAATGGAAATCTGGATTGAGGGTAGTAGGGGGTTGTGGTGCCTCATTCATCTAGGTCTCCCTTCAAACCTAACCTAATCTCAGGATCCTTCTAACCCAATTTTACTTCCAGTGGATTATACTATATAGTTTTCTCATCCCCTTACATCTTTAGTAATCTTCCCCCAATACCCTCCCCAAATGATCTTACCTCTTCACTGGCTCCAGTTACCCCAAGTCGGGTCAGGAAGGGATGTCCAGCTGCCACCCACTCTCGCTGCACTAGTGATTGGAAGCCAAGCAGTGTTCGGGCTTCAGGGGCTGAAAGCAGCTGGACGAGTGAAGAGAGGAGGCCATTGAAATCACGATCACCGCGCTCTGGGTGACAAAGAGGGAGAAGGGACAAAGAAGGAGGGGCCAAGAAACTAGGGCAGAAGAAAATGGGAAAAGGAAACGTGGCAAGAAGAAGAGAGGGACACAGAGGAGAAAAGTTTTGGTTAGGTAGGATTGAGAGGGCAAATAGAAGTGAAAAGAAAATAAAGACCTTGAATGATTCAGTTCACAGACTCCACCTGGATAGAAATACCCAGCTTCACGTGTAGGAGGCAGAATCATAAATCTCAACCCAGCTTCCACACTGTTCTTCCCACTCCAACCCAGTCACCATCTATTGATGGAAGGATGGGAACAGAAGGCGAAGAACCCTGCTGTTAGGGACCACAAGCTTTGGTAACACTACAGCTAGTAGTACTACTACTACTACTGGGAGGCAGGGGTAGCACTGAAGGATGAGTGGGGCCCATGGGTAGTTCCTAGTTATAGGAGAGGAGGATCCTAGTACTAGACGGGGACAAGGAAGATTTATAGATCTTCCTCCCAGTTGGGTGGGTAAAGGAAAAAGGAAGGAATGGAGTAGGTTAACCCAAGAAACTCACCTTGGAGTACTACAGAGCGAACCCTGGATGTCACTAAGACTGAGATGTCACTGGCCTTTCGAAGACAAGACCTGAGGGGGCAGATGAGGAAGAGGAGAGGAGAATGATAAGCCTGGAAGAAGGGAGTAATGGGTCATGGAATGGAAAAGAGGCAGACTCCAAAGTTCTGCCCATTCTCCTTCTAAGGATCAGCAAATAAGAGTCTTCTTGGGAAACCAAAGAGAAGAGTTAATGGAAGGCTATTTAGGAATTCAAGTTAACAGAAGGTTGGGGAGGGTTGAATTATATAAATCATAGCTAGAAAATGAGGGAGTACCTGACATAATCCAACCATCGTGTTCCTTCCAGGGCTGAGAGCCATTTCTCCTCGGCTGCAGATGAATCTGAGAGAGAGTAGAGGGGTCAGAAGGACAAAGAGATCAGGAGAACTCAGGATTCGTGATTCAGGGTCTGCAGCCTGAGGGTTAAGAATAAGTTGGGTAGTGGTTACCCAGGACTGGGGATAGAAATGAACAGTAACCGTAAATGGTCATGAGGTTACTACAATTATAATTGCAGTGACAGTTGTTAACCTTGTAAATGTAATAAAATTCACTGAACACTTAAGATGGGTGAAGGGTGGATTTTATGGTATGTAAATTATATCTCAATAAAGCTGTTTAAAAAAAAAAAAGAATACACTGGGGACAGGAAGACAGGAAATCAGTGAGTCTGTGGGAGATGGGAGTTGAACAGAAAACTGTGGATCTTTGGCCTGAAGGGTTAGTCATACTGTAACAGGCAAAAGGGTAAACCAGGTTAGGGTCAGCAGACCTAGGGGTGGGAGTAGGGGTCAGAGGTTATCTCACCAGGCAGGCAGAGGGCCCTCAGCTTCAAGTGGGCAAGTTGGACATCTGTAAGATTAGGCAGCTCATCCACAGTTTCCACCAGGACAACATCTGAATGCCCAGCCTGGAGCATCGACTCCACTGCTCTGGAGGGGAAGAAGTCACAAGGTAAGGGAACAAGTCTGTCCTGAACCTCCAACCCTTGAGTCTACTCATCAAACCTCCCCTCACCTGATATCCTCCTTGTTAGGGTCGCTGGCTGTATAGAAGCCACCACAGCGGAGAAGATCACTGCCCCCAGGGTGATGCCAGGACAGGCGCTTTGGATGGTGGGAGGTTAGGATCACCGTGGGGGAACCTGCTAGCCCCACCCTATCCTGCCCCCACCCTGATCTCCCTCTGCAATGACCCCCCCTGACCTCCCATAACCATCTAATCCCCAATCATCACCCCTGGCCCCCACACTGACCGGTCCACGGCCCTGATGGAAGTGGCCAAATGCTCTCCTGACCTCACTGTCCAAAGTTCGCTTAGGGACCCAGAAGTAACGGGGGAGGCTGTGAAATTGAGAGTTAACAGTCACAGCTTGGCTCAGTGAACTCATTACAATGCAGACCTGTCATTACAAGGAAGTCGCTTGGGAGGGGATTATTTCAAGGGACCTCAGGTTTAGAGATCTAGGCAGTAAGGGGGATAGCTTTGTGGATACCGTAAGAGACTAGAGTTTGTGGGCCGTCCTCGCTTTAGAGGATCTGAGAACTGTGGGAAGATTGGGAGGGCAGCGGGGGTTGGGGTGGACTGAGGGATCACCTGGTGGCTACGTCGAACCTCTCATTGACAGGGCTGACCCTCCAGCCCCCGGCCCCCTGCTTTTTCCGCTCAGTCTCCCAGTCTTCTGATGTCTCCAAGAGGGGAACAGGTGGTTTTCTGGACCCTGAACTCTGGCCTAGGGCAGGAATGAAGCACAGAAAAGAAGGAAGAGGAACCAGAGAGAGCGTCTCAGCTCTACTGTCTTCAGCCAGCCTCTGCTCTTCCAGATTCTTTACCCTTTCCCTACCCTAAAGCACCCTCACTCACCAGCCTTGCTCAGGGATATCCCTGCATACTGTTGGGCTTGACTGCTCTGAGCTCTGGCTCGGACAATGGCCATGGTCACCTGTGGAGGAGAGGGCATCCCAGCCTTTTGGCTTAGACTGAAAAAGTGAAGAGGAGGACATGGGACCCATGTGTTGCTCAACTGCCTTTGCCACCAACAGAGAACAGAGAAGACAGTCCCTAAGGAAGGGAGCTTACACAGGTGGTGGGAACTGGGGTCAGGAGAACATATCCAGAACCACAGAATCACAGAATCACAGAATGTCAATTCTGCGAGGAATCTCTGGAACAATCTCATCCAGCCCTCCCTGTTTCTCAAAGGAAGAAACTTGCCTGCTGTCACACTCCTGATAATCGGCAGTGCCAGGCTAGAATTCAGGCCCCTTACTCTCATTATACTATCCTTTATCCCAGCCTTTTAGCCTCTCCTTGAGGAGAGAAGCAGACAGAAGGATGAGAGGGGTCCTAGGAGATCGGGGAGTAGTAGGAATACCAAGGAAAGGATCCTAAGGCTCTAAGGGGAGGAGTCATCTTTGGGTTGAAGGCCTCTTACCTGAAAGGCCTGAGGCTCTAGTCCTCCAGCCTCAAAAGCAACTCTGAGCAGCCGGAAGTCTCGGCCATGAATGAGAATCTCCTCAGGGGTAAATTTAAGTGGGGACCCTGGACGGAGGAGCTGGACTCTGGACAGGCCACTCACTGAAGGCAAGAGTTAGAAAGCAGTGCAGCCATGGATCAAGGTCCCTCTACAAGGAAGTCTTCCAGCCCATCCCACTCCATCCCTGCTGCCCTCTGAGAATAGAGGAAGGATGAGGAAGGGTGAGCCCCCGGTAAGCCCCTTCACCAACACCTCACACACATTACCCCCCCCCCCACTCACCAGCCTCTAATCGCCCAATGTTGACCAGGACAAAATCATATTCACTGCTCAGGGGAGTCTCCTAGAGGAAGCACACGACTGATGCTAAAGACATCTGAAATCTTGCTCATTGTCCTACCTTGGCAATCCCTAACCTCCCTGGAGATAATCCCGACAACCCCTTAAGCATAACTCTCCCTGTCTCACTTGTCTAAATCCTTCTAGTCTCCCCAATCCATTTCTCACTAACTGTCCTTTCCATTGCCCTCACCATCTCACCTGACTCCGTTGCCATCCACAGGGCTGGAAGGTGACCCTCAAGTTGGTGCAGATCAGAGTTCCAGGCAATTCAGGTTCCAGCCCCTTCCTCACCCCTGGGGCCCATGCTAGGATCTGCTCCCCTACAGGGGAAGGTGGAAAGCCAGGTTATGACTATTCCCAGTGTCACCCACACTGGTATACACCTACTCCTCTGAGAGTGTAGGTGTAGGTGACAGGAGGATGTAAAGAGGGAAGATTAAGATCCTCCCCCAGCTCCACTAGAACAAAAGCTTAGCAGGAGATCATTTGTATTCTTTTACTCTAGAGCTTAGAACAGTGCCTAGCACAGAGTAGGCACTCAAACACCTCTTGAATAAGTAAATGAGAAAAGGAAGTAAGAGAGTCAGGAAAACAGGGACCATCAAGGTCCAGGCTCCTAGCCAGCTCTGGCAGAGAAGAGAGCAAGCCTCAGACAGAAGCACTTTAAGCAAGTAGAGGAATACAGAGGTATCTTTGGTGAGGTTTGAAGCAAAGTTTGAGCAGGATGAAATTTTGGAAGTCTTTGGAGATTGGAAGTATTGGAAGGGAAGTTATTACCTGGAAGGCATCCCAAGGCCAGGTGACTGCCAAGCTGACAACTCCTGGACTCCAGCATCCCAGTCCTCTGGACAGACTTTGGTCCAGAGAGCTGTGAAGGGTGTAGGGTTAATCCCCAGGCCTCTCCAACCCCCGGGTCTGGGATTACCTCAGCAGCCACCATTGGAGGCCTACACTCAGACTCTCAGGGGAAACTGAGATCAGCAGCTGTGGGAGCTTAGGACCCAGTTGGCAGACAGTAAAGGGAGGGGCTGGTTAATGGATAATGAGACAATGAACTTGAGACTGTGAAAAAGACAGACCAAGCTCCATCAAGCGGAGTTGATATGGGGCACACCCTCCTCTTCGAGCTCCTTTCCTAGCCCCTCTTTTATCTTCATATCCTCCTTATTCACACCCTCGGGCCCACGGTGCCCTTCCCTCCCAAGCCCAAGTCTCCTCTCCTTACCCCCATGTCTGGCTCCGCCTTCTGGGGGGCGATGTTGAAACTCTGGCCCCGACCCCCCCACCACATTTCTCTGGCTCCATCCGGGGACGGAGCAGTGAAGGGTGGGAAACTTTGAGGATGCTCAAGCCCCTTAGGGAGAGGCTGAATCTTGTAGTTGAGAAGAGGGAGGTCAGGGAGAGGGGCAGGGGACAGCACCAGGGAAAGGAGCGTTTGAGGTGCACGGAGCACGATTAGGGGTCTTTTGAAAGGTGTGTCCAACCCAGCTAGAGGAGGCTCCTCGGAAACTTCAGTCGACTCTGGAGAGGGCGGGAGAGATGCCCAGCCCCTTAAAGGGGAATACACACAGTTTTGAAAAAGTGGAGGAGCCTGGAAAAGGTGAGGAAAAAATGGGTAACGGGAAAAAAGTACCCAGATTCTTTCCACAATCCCAGATCCTATGCTCTTTCTGTTCACAAGTACTGGAAATTATTTGAGGGAACAGTAATACCGAGTATTAACCCGGAGTAATTTGGGCTCCGTTTTTTCGTCTTCTTAAAGAGGGTGGTGTGGTGGGAGGAATGCAAAAGCAGTTCAGGTTTCCTTGCGGCCTCCCCTGACACACCTGACAAAAGTAGTAGGAAATTGGGCCTCAGGGGATTTTTGCCTGGGGAGGCCCAAGAAATGAGGGAGGGGAGTTAAAAGCATTTTGTACATCGTTCTCCAGAGAGCATGAAACATACTTCATGTGGAGGGTGCCCTGAGAACACTGGGGAGAGAAATTGAAATATCTCTGGGATGCAGACAAGTCAGGTGTTTATGTGCAAGTTCTGGGGGTGGAGGGAGGCCCAAGGAAGAGATCTTACTACTTAATCCGACACACACACACACACACACACACACAACCAGTGGGAAACCAGAGCCCATTCCAGGTACATGACCCCTCCCTCCAACCCAGACACCAGATCTCCAAATTAATGATTCATGTTCAGGACCTTCAAAGCTGAGGGCTGGAAACCTCTATCAGTTCAACAGCCCCATCCCCCACCATCCCCCCTGCAACCTGAGGAGCAGAGCAGAGGTGGGTGGGGAGGACCCTAGGAGGGAAATAAAGGAACTGCAGTTGATGGCACCTGGGTAGGAAGCAAAAGTCTGCATTTAGATGCGAAAAAGACGGGAAATGAAATACAAAATAAGGGTTAATGAGCTGCTGTTTTATTGATTTTGAGTCTGTACAGAGGCAGCAGACCTTAAGTGGGGGCCCCAGTTTTCCAAAGTGACACTCAACTCTCTCCTCCCCTCAGCACACACACCCTTCCGGCCTCGGCTGTAAAAGTTCCCTGTCTTGGCTGATATTGTGGAAATAATGAAGATATTGTGAGACCGGAAGTTAATTTGGAACAAAGAGGCATACACCTGCTAGGAAGGTGGCCCAGAAGCCTTATTCTAGAAGTCCTAAAAGTTCCCAAGCACCCCCAACCCCACCTACTTTCCATGGGCCTCAATCTCTTGGGGGAAGAAATACTTCCCAAGGTCTCTTGCAGTAGGAAGAGCTGTGTTCCACAATTTTAAAATCCCATTCTCCATTTTCCCTCTCCCCACTACCCTTCATTCAAGAGCCTCATTCTATTCTTAATATTTTGAGGTATAGCAGCAGCAGAGGAATCCAAACTAGAGGAAAAAAAACATCAGGGGAATGGGGGGAGGTGAAAGGCAGAAAAAAGTGGGTGACTTGGCTGAGCACGAGAATGCAAAGGGGCAACAGCCAAGGGCTAAGTAAAAGGGTACCTCTCAGTACCCCCCACACCAGTGGAGGTTTTAGTGGATGAAAGGAAGGATGCAGAAGCAAGGGGCTGTATCAGATTTTTCCATTTTCAGAATCCTGGTCTGGTTGCAGGTTTGTGCCAAGAGTGAAGGCTGCTGGGAGGGGCAGCTGGAGGAGGGGGGTGGAGCTGAGTGACTCACAAGATGAGTCACAGATCCAGTTATAAGCACAGAAAGAGGCCAACGTCCTCCCCACACCCCACTGCTCTCCGTTACCGTCAGCCAGCTTCCGATCCTCTTTCCTAACCCCCCTAACCCACGTGGCCAGTGAGGGGCGGTGGCATGGATAAAGTCTACATGAGGATGTCATAATAAATATTTTGTTAAGCTACTTAAAGTACAGGGGCAAAACACCCTATCTGCAGGCTGGGTATCGACAAAGTGAAAGAGACAGGAGTGCCTGTCTGACTCACTGAATCTGCAGTTGAAGGGCCTGGAGGGAAAAAGAAATTAGAAAAATCTGAGATGCAGGTGATTCCAGGCGGGGAAGGGGCTTGCAAGTCTGTCTTCTCATCTGTGCCTGGGGCACTGACTGCTTGGAGAAAGAAGACGACTGGTGTCTGAGGGGACAGTCATCACTGAAGCGCCTTAATGGGAAAGACAAATGTGACTGGAACCTTGGATGTGTGTGGCTGTTTAGAAAGGAGACCATTCGGAACCAGTTCCATTTTTTCTGCCTCTGTATCACTTCCCAAATACACGATATGAAGTCATTGCTAACTTTTGTTTTATTGGTCTGTAAGCTTTAGTTGCGCTTGAGAAGAAACCGAGCCAAGAAGAGAGGGAGAGTACTTCCCTCCAGGCCCTGTGTAGCACCAAGTTTCACATCATCCCCACTCCATAAAGAGACTGAATCTTTAAAAAAAAAAAAAAAAAAAGTTTTGATATAATCTTTTTATTTTGTTGACAGGATCCAGTATGAGGGAAAAACTTTTGATTAAATCTTGTAACTCCCAATAAAACGACACAGATTAAGGTAGGAATTTGGAGACCTATCCTATAGTATACTTGCTCCGTCTGGGAGCTGGGGTGGAGAATGTAGGGTGGAGGGGTAGCACTGTCTTAAGAGGGGAAAAATAAGAACCCCAAATATTTCCCCTCTCCAATAAAAACCTCAGTAGGTACCCCAATGCCCTGGATTAAAGGAACTAAGTGCACTTATTTAAGCCTGAGAGATCCCATCCCTCAGCCAGGGTGACAGGATCTGCCTCCCCCTTCAGCCACATACCCCTCCTTAACCAAGGAATTTTTGCTCATTTTGGGTGCACGTCATGTCCCCCTCTCCTCCCCTCTCCCAGCACAGTAACTGCATGGGTTTGCCTCTTCCACCCCCTCATCTTCCCAAAATACCACAAACCAACCAGAGTCTGTTTTCATTTCCCAGGCATTATTCCTTCACCCTCCATCCCACAAAACCCCCTCAAAGAATAAAGCAAAACAGTCTTTACTCATTCCCTACTGAAAAACATCCATTGACTCAGGGCCCGTCATCCTTAGAATGGAGAATTTTTTTTTTAATGCCTCAATATATAGTTACCTTCCCAAATTAAACAAAAATAATTTATTGCTGAATAAAAAGCTACAGGGCCTAAATAAAGCCCTATTTTATCATATTCACTCCTAAGCAACCCCCCCGAATTTCTACCTTTTTTATTTGAAAAGAGGTCAAATAAATTGGGATTGGTTAGTTTATAAATCAAAACAAAAACAAACGTGACACAAGGTTTCTGTTTTTGTTCATTTGTCCTCAGTTTTTAAAAACAAAAGTATTAGCTAGAATCTAGTAACAAATCAAATCCAAACACAGCAGTCCAATGGGGAATTAAAACTTTCCTGGCTTTACTCTCTGGGAAAACCCCTGGTCTGTTCCCATTCCTATCGGTCCAGGCCAGAATCCTATGCGCCTCCGGGAAAGCTAGGTGAGCTGTGCCGGGTGTGAGCTGGAGCCACCTGTTGCTTGGGCACACTTAGGGGATGGAAGCTCACGAGGTGATGGTCTCACCAGTGCTGTTCTAGCCCCAGAGACAGGGTGAGGTGAGCAAGGCACTCACTTCGGGCACAAAATTTAAGGGGTGCCCCAAAACTCAATAACCAACATACTATCTTAATGCAGTACTTTTTGAACATCAAAACCAATGTAAAATATCCACAATGAACTAAGTATCAAAATTGTAAGGACAGGATTCAACCCCTTACTTGCTCAATTCAACTTATTTCCCTCAACTTAATCTCAGTCCTATTGGATCCTTCTTTAAGATTTTGATATTTTATTCATCATGGAGTTTTCCCGTATTGTATTTTAAATACTGCATTAACATGTATTTATCTTAGTCACTGAGTTTTTCAGTACCCCTTAAAGTTCTGTACCGAGGGGAGTACTCTTCTTGTACTAGTCCCAGCCCTGGCCAAAAATATGTACATCCCCTCCTTTGGAATCTATCTCCTTTGACCCCAGTGCTTCCTGAAAACCATTCTATTTTCAAATAAAAGCCTAAGAATTAATAGCCATATGAAATGATTAAATCGACTATCAGATTTGAAAAATGAGTGACTTTCAAGTCTGCTGAAGAAAGAGGAATCTTTCTAAACTCTGAGCAGTTCCAATGAAGAGGACAGTCTTGGGGGACATCGGATGACAACTTTCCTGATTGGGCAGAAGCAACATATGGCAATTACAGGTCCCCAACACACACACACACACACACACACAGCCCACATCCGGTTTAGAGCAAATGTGGGGATGCCATTCCATGAGATGGGTTAGGAGTACATACCTCAAAAGAGAAATCCACATACAGAAAAACAGCCCCGATTAACACTCTGGACACTTAAGTACACTTATTCCCCTTCTTCATATGCACCCAGGAGTGTATACAATTGCATAGTTGATTTTTTTTTCCCCCAGAAAAAAAAAAAAAGAAAGGAAGAAAGAAAGAAAAAGGAAAATTGGCCCAGGATAGGTCCTCCAGTTTAAAGCTCTTAGAAATTGTGCTGGCCAGAGTAAAGGCTGTCCAGACTTGTGCTTTGTGCAAAATGCAAAGGAGCTCCCCCTTCTGTGTCCATAGGCCCACTCCCACCCTCTGGGGAAAAGGGCTGAGTCAGGGAAAAGGGGAAACCCAAAGACAGATCAGCTCATTGGGAGTAATCTGTGATCTGTGGTTACAGTTCACTAAAATATATTTCTTTAACTACCTTTTTATAAATTGCCCCTAACCCCTACCCCCGTGTTTCAACATCAATCCTATTATCAAAAATATGTCTTCTTACAAAGTATTTTTTTTTCTTATTTTAATAAACTAACCACAGATTAAGGTCAGCTATGGCTTAACAAAAGAAGCCGGGATGTTAAGTTCATTCTCCAAAAGTAGAGAGGAAGGAGAAAGAATCACTTACATAGGAAGAAAAAAAAATCATTTTTTAAAATGTTTTTGCTCACTGGGGTCGTTTTGTTTCTTTTCCTTAAAAAAAAAAATAGTCAAAGTAAGTTGCTTTCTACAGAAACACAGCAGCAGAGGATGGTTTTTGGTTTTGTTTCAAACAGTCTGGCCAGAGGTATGTCCTGCTCCTGCCCCCCCCAGGGTGCACTCACACCCCAATGTGTGGTTATTGCTAAGTAGTTACAAAAGATCACCTGGAGAAGATTCAGCCCACACAGCTGCTCTTCTCCTCACTCTTCCCTTCCCCTGAGGGAACTTTTTCTTTTTTTTTTTTAAATAGAATTAAAGTCGTTAAAAAAAAAATCACAATCTTAGCTGAGCTCAGCCCTCAAAAAGGATGAGGAAAAGATATGGGGCAATCAGCAATCTCCTCTCGAACCAGAACAGATGACAGGTGGCTGTTTAGAAGAAATAAAACTTGAGAGGCAAAGGATTCCCCTTTTAAGTTCTTCCCTTTCCCATCTCAGTAAACGGATTTAAACTAACCCCCTCCTAATAAGCACCCGTGAGGACACATTACTGCCTTGTCTTTCCAGATCCTTCAGGAGGAATTTGGCCAACCCTAATTTCTACCTTAATTCAAATCAACAGCAAATCTAATTCCCCAGTTTCCCTCCACACTCCCAACTCCACCATCATGTGCTTTTTTCCAACCTACAAGAACTTTGGTCTGGTTTTTCTTTTATTGACTGAGAACCTCCTTTGCCTGCTCCTGCCCCAGACTTCTGCCCACCTTCCCACCCCCACACACCAAACCTTCCCCTCATTTCCCCTAGGTCCTGGGGTGTACCCAAGCAGTTATGAGACAGAATCACCATCTTTCCCCCTTGTACCTCCTCAGTCCCAGCAAGATTGACAAAGGGCTCGCGCGGCCCTCCAGGCACCGCCCAGCCCTGACCTGCTCTCGCCAGCCTGGCAGCTCTCCAGCGCGCACACACACTTCAGAAGTTCCTGGCCAGGCTCCCACTGACATTACTGCATTTGCCCCATCCGCATGGGGGCTGGGTCTTGATGAGCCAATGAGTTGAGCTTAACTCTCTTTGTTTAGCCCCCCTGCCCTCCAGGGCTCCCCGCCCCGCTCAGAACCTGTGCACCAGCAGCTCCCCACCCGGTTCGCGCTCCCTCCTCCTCAGTTCTTCCCTGTAACAGCAGGAGCAGAAGTTGTTTGTCTCAGGGTGTCCATAGAAGCTGCAGTTCGGCTGTTTGCATTTGGTCTGGGTTGGAGGAAGCCCCCGGGGCCCTCCAGCCCATCCATCTGGCTCAGGGGGCTCTCTGTAGCCGTTGCTGTAAGAATCAGCCACGCGGAACGGGGGTGGTAACAATGCACCCCTGTGAAGGCCATCCTTGGGGTGACTGCCTGGCTCCAGAGATGGGATGCAGTCCCGATGGGGGTAGGGCCGCCCTGGAGGGCACTGTCTGGGGAAGGTGGCATAGGGTGGTAGGCCCCCCCCCCAAGGCCCCCCTGCCAGCTGCCTCCGGGGTTCCTGGCAGTGGGCTCCAGCCCCAGCAGGCCGCGGGACAGTAAAGCCCCCAGGGTAGCCAGCAGGGAATGCCACTGCCTTGGACTCTGCTGGGGGGGCAGTCAGCAACTCCTCCCCGCCATCTGGCTCTGGCTTTTTGGCTGGAGGAGGCCCACTCCCCACCCCTCCATTCAGGATCTTCCTCTCTGCCTCCTTCTGCTTCTGCTCGGCCAGGAATCTCTCCTCAGCATCAGAAAGGTACCGCTGGATCATCTCCTCCTGATACTGATGACGGTGACCCATCTTCAGGGTTCCAACAAAAATAAACTTCCCCTCCCCTTGCATTGCAATCCTCATAATGCTCAAGCTCTGCATCACTTCCTGGCTATACTTGCTCCCTCCATTACCAACAGACTCAGATGTGGGCTTCTCAGACATGGGCCCATCCCCTGCTGCCTCCTCCTTGCCACCCTTCCAGCTCTTCAGTGAGTTCTTCTTCTTCTTCTCCAGGGTCTCGGTGCCGCTGCTTACCCCCGACCCCGTTCCCACCCCTCCAGGCTTCGAGCCCTTGCTGGGCATCAGGCCTCCCATGTTCTTCTTGAGCTTGCTGCCCAAAGTTTTGCCAAAGCTACCCAGTTTGTTGGCCACAGAATCTGCTCTCTTCTTGTCTTTCTCCCGACCTCGCTTTGACTTCTCTTTCCGCTTGCTGCCCTCATTGCTTGTAGAACTGCTGCCAACCGACTCCTTGTCTGATTCCCCAGACTCAGGAGTGGACCGGGGCTCATCTCCAGCTGAGGCTGTGGGGGACTCAGGTTGTGCCAGGGGAGCCTGGAGGATATAAGAACAGGATTACTCGTTGTCCCACTGGGCTGAGGCAAGGGAAGTCCCCTCTGGCCCCTCCACCTGGCTCACAGGGTTCGCTGCAGCATTGCTACAGGAATTAGCTCCGTGGAAAAGGGCTGATAACACACCTGTGCACTCCAACCCTGGAGTGCCTGCCTAGTTCCAGCAAAGGGCCATTGTCACGGTGGGGAAGGGTCACCCGGGAGGGCACTGTCCTTCCCCAGCTCCAGTCAGCTCTCCCATGGACCAGGGAAAGATGTATCTAAATATCTAACTTTTATCTCACCCCCTGCAATTTGACTCCCTTCTGTAATAGGAGGTAACAAAATGAAGCCTGACGTTCTTCTAGAGCAATGAGCAACTATACAATACATGGCGTCTGGGTAAGGAGGAAGAATATTCCATAGATACTAAAATATCCTTTATTATAAATTTCTCTCTCTTCTTTTAAGATTTTATTTATTTGACAGAAAGAGAGAGAGAGAGCACAAGCAGGGGGAGCGGCAGGCAGAGGGAGAGGGAGAAGCAGACTCCCCACTGAGCAGGGAGCCTGATGTGCTCGATCCCAGGATCATAACCTGAGCCTAAGGCAGACAGTTAACCAACTGAGCCACCCAGGCGCCTCTATTACAAATTTCTCTATGCCTAGGGTGCCTGGGTGGCTCAGATGGTTGGGTCCTGGGATTGAGCCCCATGTCACACTCCAAGCTCAGTGGGGAGTCTGCATCTCCTTCTCCCTCTGCCTCTCCCCCTGCTTGTGCTCCCTCTGTCTCTCTCTCAAATGCATAACATCTTTAAAAAACAAACAAATTTGGGGCGCCTGGGTGGCTCAGTTGGTTAAGCGACTGCCTTCAGCTCAGGTCATGGTCCTGGAGTCCCGGGATCGAGTCCCGCATCGGGTTCCCTGCTCAGCGAGGAGCCTGCTTCTCCCTCTGACCCTCTCCCCTCTCATGTACTCTCCCTCATTCTCGCTCTCTCAAATAAATAAATAAATCTTTAAAAACAAACAAACAAACAAACAAACAAACAAACAAATTTGTCTATGCCAGATTTTGCCCAAAATTAATCTCAAGGAAGTCTTAACTAACCACAACCAACTCTAACCATTCTGCATCCCCTCAACTTTTAGACATTCAGCACTAGAGTCTGTCAGTCTGCCCTTGTTCCTGTATTCTTGTTCTATGGAGAACGATGACATCCTCAGAACCTATTAGATCAGTCTCTTAAGGAGACTTAAGCGATTCTGTCTCCTCTGGTACCCTCCACAGGAGTCTATATATATAAGGCTTGGGACAAAGTAATGATGATCTCAAGTTCACCAAGAAGTCTAGAAAACTTTTCTTGAATGTGTTTTAGTATCACAAAGCAGAGCTGGAGAGGAGCTGTGGAAAATGGAGGTCACTAACAGGTAAGAAAGCAGGAAAAAGTGTCTTTTGGAACTCATCTGATATTTTCCAGTTATTACTAACCTTGAATCGTCAGCTACCACTCAGAAGCAATTCACAAGGAGACCACTGCCCAGTCTCCTTGTTCCCCCCGTCGCTGAAAACGGAGGACGTACAAGGGTGGGGTCGGAGAAGTCCTCACCTGTGCATCAGAGGACACTGGGATCCACTTCACATTCATGTAGCCATGCAGCAGATGCAATTTGACCTCCAGGGACAGGATTACACTGTGAAGAGGAGAAAGGAAGAATTAAAAACATCCTGTGACCTTTAAAAAGCAAAGCGTGTGATCTAGTTGGGAGGTAGAATGGGAGAGGGCTACATGGCTTGGGACTCAGACAAGGTGGGGTCTGAATTATAGCTCCACCAATTAGTACTAAGCTTTATGACCTTGAGGCAAGTCACTTCACCCTCCCTGGAACTCAGCTGGGGTTGATAATGGGCATAGATAATATCTACCCTGTAGGGTTGTTGTGAAGATTAAAATAGTACTGGAAAGGACCCAGCATAATGTCTGGAAAACAGGAAATACTTACTGAACAGTAGCCATTATTGTTGCTGGTGTAAATATTATTAAGAGGGAGCTTTTGATATTTAGGTGAGAACTTATTTTAAGAGCCATAAATTCTGAGTTTTTAAATGAAACCCTCTCAATTGGATCCCAGTGTCAGGAGCCCAAAGAAGGAAACACTGGGTAAGAGGTAAGGAAGGAGCTTTTACATTCATACCCTCTTCATAGGAAGCTGTGGAGGGCACAGGCTGAGGACTAAACCTGCTTTGGGAGGTGGCAGGGAGGGGGGCTGGCAGAAAGAACATTTTTCTTGCTATTTAAATTCAGAAAGGCAACAATCCAAAGCAAACTAACTACTTCGGTCAATTATTTAAAAACCCCTCTCATGGAGTGCCTGGTTGGCTTAGTTGGTAAAGCGAGCAACTCTTGATCTTGGGGTTGTGAGTTCGAGCCCCATGTTGGGTGTAGAGGTTACTTAAAAAATGAAATCTTAAAAAAATTTTTTAAATAAATAAAATAAAACACCTCTCACTTGGACTGGGAGAAAGTGTGACTTGATTATCCTGATTTTCTGATCACTGTTTTGGAGATTCTGGGATGTATCCCAGGAGAAGAACACTCCTCATCTCATAAGGAAAGAACAAGTTGTAATCCCAGGATTTCCCTCTCTTTCATGGGGAAAAAAAGCAGGTGCATGCTGTAAGAATCCTGGTGCCCAACCTATCCCCCACGTCTCCATCTTCCCCAAAACACTGGAGCTAGGATGTGACTGTCTTGCCTCTGAGCTGAGGAAGAGTCCCCGGGGAAATGGATGCTGTATGTGGAAGAGACACGTAGCAGGTGGGAAGGCTACGCCTGCCTCACCTGGCCAATCGGACGTTGTCATTGTCATCTTTGCCCCACTCCCAGCCCTTTCCAGGGTCCACAGCAAAGTGCAAGGGCAGCAGCTTATGCTCTGAATCTGTAAGTGGGATAACAGCTGGGGAGGAAGAAACATGTCATCAAGGAATCTCCTTAAGGAGACAGGAAGGCAACTGAACACAAACTGACTTCACTAAAGAGGAGGCTGGATCACATCAAAGGTCTTGAACTGAGCTCACTCAGTTTTCACATGTGAATTACACTGGCATCAAAAACAGACAGACTGGTTTTCCCTTACTAGCCAACACACAATTTAGGCCACTAATCTCCATGACTCCCCCCCAGTCACTCAACACTCATGATGTTCTTGCCAGTTAATGTGGATTCAAAACATTCAAAGTCATTATTAAGACAAATACAGCAGGGGCGCCTGGGTGGCTCAGTCGCAAAGCATCACTTGGAAGGTTCTATGACCTTAATACACACACTCTACTCCAGAACAGGGAACAGCAAATACAGGCAGGCTACTGTGTTTTTCCCCAAAGCTCTTTGTCAAAATGTATTTATTTTTAATTTAAACACCCTGGCGTATCTTTAGCTTAGTAAAACAGTATCAGTGTGCACTGTCTGGGCTTGCATGTCACTTAGTTCTTCCCTCCTATACTCTCTCCTATTTAAGTTTTTCCAAGTGAAAATAAAGTAGACCAAAAGACACCAAAGACACCAACATCGCATTCAGCACCTTGTTCCTTGGCATTCTCCTTCTGCTCCATGGACACAAGTGCAGAAAAGTGTGCTTGATCGTAGGCAAGCACCAGAGGGGAGCGGTGACACTGGCTGGCTGGGACCTCCAAGGGCAGATAGATTCCCCCAAAGGGAATAGGGGCGAACGCTGCAGCAACCACAAAGACTGTTATTCAGGATGTGTTCTTGCCTAGAGGGCAATCCCCACACCCCACTCTTCCAAGGGAGTTCCCCCTTTTACTCACTCTAACCCCTAGTTAATCATTCTATCTATCTATCTATTTATTTATTTTAAAGATTTTATTTATTTATTTGACAGAGAGAGACACAGCAAGAGAGGGAACACAGGCAGGGGGAGTGGGACAGGGAGAAGCGGGCTTTCTTAAGAAGCCTCATCAATTAACCCCAACTGCTTTGCTCTTGATCTCTTGAGAATTTTGCATTGTCCTAATGTATACCTTGTTTCTCCCCTTCCTTCCCTCCATATAGCCCCTTCCTTCCCTCCTCCCAGTGCTTAGCCCAAGGTTCTGCAAATAGAAGGTGCTCAGGACAGCGAGGACTGACTCACCTTCCCCACCAGAGTCCCTCAGCATGGTGTCGGCCACGACGACTATGGGCCTCCTAAGCACATGGGCAAGGACAAAGACGTGGAATTCTTCTAGGCTCTCATATACAGGCTCCTCTGAACTCTCCACCCTAGAGGTGCAGGAGGGGAGAGAGTGGAAGGGGTGCCGCGAAGGGGAGAGGGAAGAAACCCAAACAAGACACCCCTGAAGACCAGTTCCGCAAAGAGGAAAAAGAGGAATGCCCTTTCCTGGTTTTCTTTCTTTCTTTCTTTCTTTCTTTTTTTAAGATTTTATTTATTTATTTGACAGAGAGAGACACAGTGAGAGAGGGAACACAAGCAGGGGGAGTGGGAGAGGGAGAAGCAGGCTTCCCGAGGAGCAGGGAGCCCGATGCGGGGCTTGATCCCAGGACCCTGGGATCATGACCTGAGCCGAAGGCAGATGCTCAATGACTGAGCCACCCAGGCACCCCCTTTTCCTGGTTTTCTAATCTTAAAGCTGCCATGGACATAGCTGATTATTTTATGCTACAGTGGCTGTTTCTACTCCCATTTCAGAGATGGGGAAATACAAGAAAAGAGATTTGAAGGCCCTAAGGCTAAAATAGTGTTAGGAATCTGGAGGTAATCCCTCCGTTAAAACCAATCTTGTTCAATAGCCTTCCCCTATTTGCTTTATCATGTAGCTCAGGACACAACTGTGTAGCCTCACTTTACCCACAACCACCCACACATCACATGCATCATGTCCTACAAAAAAAAAAAGAAAAGAAAAATTCCTCTTCTTATCTTCCCTTACGTGAAGAACAGCATCTCACCCTCACCATATCTACCTAGTAGCCTAATCAGAAATCTGTGAAATAGTTACTCTTCTTTATCTTTCATCTTAATTAATCACCTGGCTTGACTGATTCCATCTCTTACGTGTCTCTCGTATCTATCTCCTCCAGCCTGTCTGCAACCCACCACTCTTGTTCACACCCATGGCCTCTCTCCCGGATTACTACAACTGCACCCAGTCTCAATGCCCTCCACTTCATCACCCGCTCTGCTAGCAGTGTGTTCAAATACACGAATTTGCTCCTGTCACCAGCATACACACAATTCAGTGGCTTCCTGACCCCAACAACAATGTTATTCAACACTGGGTACTTGGTACAAATGCAGATTTCTGCGCCATAGCTCAGTCCAACTCAACTGAACTTCCTTAAGGGTGGAGGTCCCCAAATCTGCACTTTAACAAGCCTCCCAGATTATTCTTATGCACAATAAAATCTGGATAAGTTATAATTTTTAACTTTATGTTACAGAAAATTTCAAAATTTTAAACATTCAAAACTAGAATGAATATTATACCTAAACTCTCACGTATCCATCACCCAGCCTCAACAATTATAAAACACATGGTCAATGTTGTTTCACCTAGACCTTGATCTAGTTCCCTATTAGCCCCCACCCTCACCCCACCCCACCAGATTATTTTGAATCAAATCCTAGTATCATTTCATCCATAAATTTTTCAGTTTCTATCTCTAAAAGAATAAAGGACTCCTTTTAAAAACAACCACACAACCATTAATATCACACTTTTAAAAAAATTAACAATAATTAAACATGTAGACATTGTTCACGTTTCCCCAGCTGTCTTATAAATGTCCATACATTCCCACTGGTTGATTTGTCTAAGGGTCTTTAAACTTAGGTTCCCTCTCCCTTTTTATTTTCCTTGCAATATATTTATTGAGAAAACTGAGTCATGTCCTATAATTTCTCAAAGTCTGATTGGATATGATTTTAATTCCTCAGCATGGTACAACAGAAACCTCAGCATGGCACACAAAACTCTGGTTATCCAGCCTCATCTAGCACTCTATACCATGTACTCTGTATTCTGGCAATGCCCAGCTACTTGTAGTTCCTAGAACATACCATGCTGTTATACCCTTCTGTGCCCTTGCACAGCCCCTCTCTTCCCTTCTAACGTCCTCTGAGCAAGAAGTTCTTTGGACACTGAGGACTCAGTAAAGATTCCTTCCTACCCCCAACCATGTTAGCCATACTTACCCACCACAGTTGGCTCCATTGGAACCTAGATGCATGCGGGGTTCACTCGAGGCAAGCTTGATCAGCTCATTCCATTCCTTCTGCCATTCATCCTCTGTGTACAGCAGGCCTGACTGCGTGAAAGATAGGCAGGGGAGACCAAGCAGTTAGAGGCTAGGTGCATGAGGCAGCAGCTATTCAACTCAGTCACAGTGCCCCACTCCCTATTCTCTTAGCACTTGGCTTACACCGTGTACTACAAAGTCAAATCTCTTCTCCCTTTCCTAGTCAAGGTCCACAACAGAAGAGTCTATGATCTCTCTTACACTTATTTTTCTTCCATTCTTTTCCGGCCCATTTCAGTCCAGCCTACACCCCTTGCCCCATTTACACCACTTCACCTAACTGACTCTGGCAAAGGACAATGACCTTCTCTTTGGTTCTCATCTTTCTTAGTCTTCAGGTAGCATTTCAACTCATTAAACTTCCTTCTCCTTCAGCTTCTGCAACACTATTTTCTCCTCTCTCTCTCAACTCTGTCTACCCTAGCAGTATGGTGTTGTGTCAATAATATTAACAGCCTTGGTTCCTTCTGGGTGATCTCTTCTACTGCCATAATCTCATCTACTGCCATCTATATGCTCAAGATGCTAAAATCTCCCTCTCCATCCCAGACCTCCTCTTAATTTCTATATTCACATCCAGCTGCCTACTGAAGATTGCCACCTGCCCATGACTGCCTCAAACTCTATACAGTCAAAACCTGAACTCCTACCTCTTCCAAAACCCACTCTTCTTCCTATATTCCTGCCTTAGTGAACTGCACTGAATATCACCCAAACACCCAAGCTAGAAACGAGGGACTTACTGAAGACTCCTCTCCTTTTACCCACCCCACACCTGGATTCCTTAGTCAACAATTATTAAGCATGAACTACTGTAATGGACCCTTAACTGGTCAAGCATTCCTCTGATCCATTTTCTACAATGTTACCAGAAAGATTTCTCTAAAATTAAAATCTGATCTTTACTTCCTGCTACAAATTATCTTAAGAACTATCATGACCTGGGGCACCTGGGTGGCTCAGTCAGTTAAGCGTCTGCCTTCAGCTCAGGTCATAATTTCAGGGTCCTGGGATCGAGCCCTGCACTGGGCTCTCTGCTCAGGGAGTCTGCTTCTCCCTCTGCCCACCCTGCCCCCGCCCTGCTCATGCTCGCCTGCTCTCTCAAATAAATAAAATCTATTAAAAAAAAAAAAAAAAAAAGAACCATCATGACCTTTTAGATATAGTTCAAAATCCTTAAGTGTAGCATACAAAGTCCACTTCCTGGCCGGCCCCTACCCACCTCTCTAACACATCATTTCATTAGCTGTAGTTCCTTGAATGCACTGCGTTGCTTTGTACTTCAGCTTTTGTCTAGCTTGTTCCTTCTGCTTGGAGCAGCCCACTCCCTATCCACCTGGTGAATCATTCCGCAACTGTCAGGAGAGGCCTCAAGTATCTTCTTTATGAAGCCTTTCCTAAATCTTCCTGGAAGACCCACTCCTTCCTTTTCGCCCTCCCTCCTCAACTGCTGTACAGACTTTATCACAGATGGTACAATTACGTATTTACATGTCCATCTCCGACTACTACTCTTAAGGGCTAGGACCATGTTTCAGGCAATATGCTAGTGCCTATGATATGATCAGTAATTAATAAATACATGCTGAGTGAAACTATAACTTTTATCAAGGGGATTGGAGAAGTGGTAAACAATTTAAAAATACCATTTGCCTTTAGGATGTATATGATAATTTGGCAGACAAGTCTATGTTGTTAATTGTATTTGGCTTACATTAGTATTTAAATGAGTTTATACTGCTCAAACACACACTGACAGTAGAAAGAATCACACTGAAAATATGAGGGGCATGAGGAGCAAATTTAAGAAGAATTAAAGAGCTGTTTTAGCACATTTTACTTTTTTTTTTTTTAAGATTTTATTTGTTTATTTGAGAGAGAGCGAGAGACAGCATGAGCAGGGGGGAGGAGCAGAGGGAGAGGGAGATCCCAGGACCCTGGGATCATGACCTGAGCTGAAGGCAGATGCTTTACCAACTGAGCCACCCAGGTGCCCACATTTTACTTTAATAATAACAAAATGACAAAGTTATGTTCTCTTTGTAAAATGCTGTAACAAAGCTTCTCAATTAAAAATAAAAAGAACAATGCACAGGCAGTAATGTACTGACTGGGTGCTCTGGTCACTCTTGTCTTCCTCTCACCTATTTCAGCTTCCTGTTTTCATACATGCAGCCACTAGGTGACGTATCCTGCCAGCCTGAAAATGTCCTTACTGGTTTTGACTTTTTTGTTGTTATTGTTTATTCATTTAAACAATCTCTACACCCAAGGTGGAGCTCAAATTCATGACCCCCAGGTCAAGAGCCGCATGCTCTACCTACTGAGCCCCCAGGCACCCCAACCTTATTGGACTTGACCACTAATTTCAACAGAAAACAAGAAGGCCTGGGAAATCAAAACCAATTTAGTTCCTATGGAGTTTGGTCCTGATTTAAAGAAGCATCCCAGTCCCTCATGCCTCCCTCCATTCCTATGCCTAAGGTGCAGCATAATGCTATAAATAGTCTCAACTAAAACAATTCTCTAGGCCACATTTCCAATATGGAACTTTTAATGTGCTGGGCAAAAGGAGTAAAATATTGCTCCTTTGATAGCCACTACTCTCTATGCATGTATTTCCACTGGGGACTCTGAGGGGGAACAGGTAGGTGGCTGACCAAGAACAGAACTTGGGTATTTCTGGGTCTCCTGGCTAAAGCCATAATAATCTAGCCCCACCTTTAAAATAACTACAATAGCTTAATAGCTGGAATTGGGCATACCTATTCTCTGACTGCTGTTGTCACTTCTACTTAATAGCTGAATGCTCTAGTTCAGCCTTTTCTTGACTCTGGAGTGTCAAATGTAAGGTTCAGGGATGGTGTGAATTCAATAGTGAGGAAGGCAAACTTTAGGCTGGCTCTAGCTTAAGCAAAAGAAGCTCTCCACAAGTCCAGCTCAGCTCACCAAGGAGCCATGGGACTTGGCAGTAATAAAGAATGCCATTTACTTGGCCTTGCCCCTGTGCATTTATTTCCCTCAGGAATCCTCTGGGGCAGATTGGCTGATCAAAGACTCCATTCTGAGCTTAATACCATCCTAATTTTAACAATTGGGCTCTTTGTTTTTAAGAGAGAAACATGACACATTCTACCTTCATATTTTAATCTTCGGGATATAAAATTCTAATAACTAAAAAAACCCTCTTAGTTCTATATAATGGCCAGTTATGACAGAGCAATAAAAGGCAACAAGAAAGAAGATGGAAAGAAAAAGGAAAGTTTCTGAAGAGACAGTCCCATATTTATGCCAGAGGACCTAGTCATATACATGGCAAAAAAACCAGATATTCACAAAGAGCACAAGATAAACACAGAAGACAGAGAACCAGGGGAAAAGGGAAGAGGGAGACCTGTTATCTTTATGTAAGTGTACAGTGTCATTATTAAAGTGAGGGGTCGGCAAACTCTTTTATTGCTCCATCGTAATTGCAGACAGTAAATCTTTTAGGCTTTGTGGGCCATATGCAACTACTCTATTCTGCTGCTGTTCCATTCTACACAAGGAAAGCACTTAACATAAACAAACATACGTAAATGAATGGGGAGGGCTGTGTTCCAATAAAACTTTTTTTTTTTTTTTTTTACACAAAACTGTTGGTGGGATTTGTCCCACAGGCCAGTTAGCTCAACCCCTGTTACGGGGATGGAAAGTACAGACAGTCCATTGTTACTTTCTTATACAAAAACAGTCTCAATATCTGCTGAACTCCTGAGAAGTACCATTCAAACTCAATTTAACGGCATGTTTTTAAAATTTTTAAAAAACAAACCGAGTATATGAAAAGCAAATAGTACATACAGCCAACAAAATTTTTAAGCATTTACATTTCTGTAAGAAATGAAAACATAAGTCCTTAAAAACTGGTCTAAGCCTTATTATAAGCAAAAAACCCCAAAACAATAAAAAATCCTGTGGACTTATATCTTATTTTGCAAAAGATTTCTACTGAAGACTTGGCATCTATCAGGTAAGAAGCACAATGTTAGCTACCTCCTCTGTGGGTCTCAGCTTCCCCATACTAGTTCTCATGACTGTATCAGACAGGCATGGGCCCTGTGGTGTCTTCTGCATTTTCTACAATTTCCAGGATTACAAGGGCAGTACCACCAATTAAGCACCAGGAGACACTGCCTACTGGTACACACTGAGCATTTCCTGTAGCTAACTCTGGGGGACAACGTGCTCCCACCCAAACTCCCTCACCTCTTTATTCTGCTGTGTTTGCTGCCACCTCCAGCGCCGTTTTAATGCTTCCTTCTCGGCTCCTTTCTCCATCAGCGCATACAAAGCTTTCCGCAGCATCAAGTCCCGATCATGGAAACCCCACATGCCTGTGGCAAGAAAACATACCAGTAGGACACCTTACATTTATTAATTATGATGCACATACCCTAGCATCAAGGCAATCAGGCTGAAGGCCAGGTTCAAAGAAACCCCTGTGACTTAGGGGAGAGGTACTTAACAATGAGAGAAAAGATGTTCCTACTCTGGAGGTTCAGAAACTTCAAGAACTTAAAAGTGGGGGATCCACCACATCCTACAAATTCCTGACAGAAAGCCCTTTACTCATATGCAAGTCTAACAAACTAAAATACAGAGTAGCAGCAGAAAAGATGGGTCTGGCAAATGGCAATCAGCATTAAAGCTAGAGGGATGGTTGGAACATGAGGACTTTTTTAAAATCTAAGGCAACTACTGGGTATTTACCCCAAAGATACAAATGTCGTGATCCGAAGGGGCCCGTGCACCCCAATGTTTATAGCAGCAATGTCTACAATAGCCAAACTATGGAAAGAGCCTAGATGTCCATTGGCAGATGAATGAATAAAGAAGATGTGGTATATATATACACAATGGAATATTATGCAGCCATCAAAAAAAAAAAAGAAATCTTGCCATTTGCAACAACGTGGGTGGAACTAGAGGGTATTATGCTAAGCGAAATAAATCAATCAGAGAAAGACAATTATCATATGATCTCACTGATATGTGGAATTTGAGAAACAAGACAGAGGATCATAGCAGAAGGGAGGGAAAAATGAAACAAGACAAAACCAGAGAGGGAGAGAAACCATAAGAGACTCAATCTCAAGAAACAAAGTGAGGGTTCTGGAGTGGAGGGGGGTGGGAGGGATGGGGTGGCTGGGTGATGGACACTGGGGAGGGTATGTGTTATGGTTGAGTGCTGTGAATTGTGTAAGACTGATGAATCACAGACCTGTACCCCTGAAACAAATAATACATTATATGTTAATAAAAATAAAAAAATAAATAAAATCTAAGGCAAAAAACATACTGAATTATAAATAAGTTTTATAATTAAACAAATCTCATAAAAACTGATGAAAACATCTTTTCTACATACCAAAAGAGTAAATATTAAGTAGAATGATATACACACATAGCTTTATCTTGCTTACATACCTGCTGCTCAATACTTCTGGGGGCTAGCTCTCAGAGTGGGACCCATGCTAAATCCTGTGTTCTCCATATTCTCTCTGAACAAGACTGAAAAGCCAGGGCAGGGCTCTCTTCCATCCCCTCTTGCATGCCCATGCCCCTGCATGCGCGCGCACACACACATACACACACACACACGCTGTACAATCACTTCTGCCTAAGTTCAAGGTTAGTGGATTAAGTCCTGCACATGAGATTTAATTCTATTGCTTCCTTTCTGAGGGTGCAGAACACCATTTTCAAGACTTACCCAGAGAGGCTGCATGCAGGAGGCAGTTTCCATCCCCAGTAGTTGCCAAAGGAAGCAGCCTCTGGGAGGTAGGGTCCACACTCACCCACCAGTTCAAACGCCCTACAGAAACAGAAGGAAAAGGAGAGGAGCAGATTATCCACAAAGCCCTTCCCACTTCCCTAGCTCTAAAACAGACTCCAAACTTGCCTCCTCTAGGAAGCCTACCCAAAATACTGTTATTCCTTATACCTTCTTCACTTATACCTAGTCGAACAGAACCTGGAGAGCATGATTGGTGAGATCAGCAGTTCTTACATGGGGACCACTGATCTAACCAATATCCAAGGGGACATTTGGCAATATCTAGACCTATGTTTGGTTGTCTAGTGGGGGGATGCCACTGGCATCTAGTGGGTAGAGGCCAGAGAGATTGATAAACATAATATAATGTACCAGGCAGCTCACACAACAAAGAATTATCTGGTCCTAAATGTCAACTGTGCTGAGATTGAGCAACTCTGGGTTAGATGATGGGGTCAAGGTCATAGGTTGAAATCTGTGTTGGCTACTTGGTCTGGCTCTGATTCCTTCACTTTGCTCAGGAGACCAGTAAACATCGTAACAATGAAGCTCAGCACAAATCCATCATCAGTAAAAGAAAAACAACCCAAAGCATGTATTCATGTCACGAAAGTATCATCTGCATATATGACAGCATGTCAGCTTGTATGTGGTATGACTTTAAAGACATGAGCAACAAGACAAAGCACATGAAACACCTTAGGAATTGAGTCTCAATTCTGTACAGTCATCCCACAATTGCTGATCCATTATTCACACGAGGAAAATATTTCATGAATCATGCTTAAAAGTTTACTTGAATTACTGAAATTCGACAGAAAGAAAACTGGCCTATAATCTCACTAGCCAGATAACTTGTTAACTTTTTAAAAAACTATAAATAGGTGCACACAGTTACTATAGAAGGGTACAAATGAAAAATGAAAGCTTCTTTCCCATGCCCCCACCTCCCAGCCCCCAGTCTTTCTTCTAAGTAAGTTTAATACCTGACTAGATTTCCCAGAATTCCCAGCAGACTCGCATACCATATTAACTAATTTTAACAGTAATTTAAGACAAACACAACTTTAAAGGTAAATAAATCTTCGGGGAAAGGCTCATATAAACAAATGGGACTTTTAAATTAATCACCATTGTACATCATCTATACTATTGGTTCTTTCTGGTCACAAGGGTGTTCCAGAGCCAATTATAACTTACTTGTATTTTTTTTGCCCCATCTATGGATTTTTAGGTATTGATTCCTGGGCCTTTCATGTGTATATCTGGTTTCCCTTCCATCAAACAGGAAATTTCCAGGGGAAAGTGTCTAATTTGTGTCCCGAAAAGAAGCACCTAGCTCAGTACATGTTGATCTGACTGACTCTTGACTTTGCAGTCAGCTCCCACATTTAGACAGGAAGCTACTGGTCAAGGCCAGCCCCTCCACGTGGCTGCCTGCAGGTGAAGAGCAGACGGAAGAGCCCAGGAAAAGAAGCACTCACTGACCTGCCTGTTCCAAGGCAACCAGCATGGACTGTTCAATAAGGTCTCTCTCTATGAAGCTGCGGAAGTCTTCGTTGTACACAGTGAGATCTGGAAGCTGGAAGGCACAGATGGGCATTTCCAGGGGGTGCTCACTGCTCCCCCCACCCCCACCATTGGAGGAGACATGGGACCGGGCCAGGGAAACAATGCTGGAGCTGGCGTGGGAGATGCCCCTAGACAGGCGTTTTTCTGCAATGAGAAACGGAGTTACCTTAGAACATACACAGCCCAGAGAACGTTCCGTTCCACTCATGTGGTGATGGTTACCTCTTGACATGGGTTACCTCTTCCAGGCAGGGAAAAACTGTGAGTCTCACTAGCTACCAAATTTCCCAACCTTCTTTCTCAATCCAAATACAGGTGGAGAAATATAGAAAGTAGTATTTTTTTTTTCTTTTTTTCCCCTTCTCTTTAAAGATCTCATTTATTTATCTGACAGAGAGAGACAGAGAGAGACAGAGCGAGAGCAGGAACACAAGCAGGGGGAGTGGGAGAGGGAGAAGCAGGCTTCCTGCCGAGCAGGGAGCCCGATGTGGGACTCGATCCCAGGACCCTGGGATCATGACCTGAGCTGAAGGCAGACGCTTAACGACTGAGCCACCCAGGCGCCCAAAAAGTAGTATTTTTGCAGGCACTTATATTAGCACCAAATATACATTCCTCTTTCTACCCTTTTTAAAAGAATTTGCCTGAACTTCTCCCCATGACTCTGTCTTCTTTCACTTCCCATTTCCCAACATAAAAGGGACTCATTCATTTGGCAACTTGGTCACTGTTTGGTAGGAAAAAGAGGGAATAAGGGAAATGGGGTTTCATTTGGCTCGGCTGAATCAAATAATCACTCTGATAATTTTCAGTTTTGGAGAATAAAGGAAAGAATTTCCATTATAGAAAATTAATAATAATAGGGGCGCCTGGGTGGCTCAGTCGTTAAGCGTCTGCCTTCAGCTCAGGTCATGATCCCAGGGTCCTGGGATCGAGCCCTGCATCAGGCTCCCTGCTCAGCGGGGAGTCTGCTTCTCCCTCTGCCTCTGCCTCTGCCTTTCTCTCTCTCTCACGAATAAACAGATAAAATCTTAAAAAAAATTAATGATAAATCTTACACATCTGGAAACTTTCTTATCTACCATCGATAACATTCATTTACATAATTTACTACAACTTTTCTGGATTCATATTTATCAGAAAGCGTAGGTACAGTCATTCTCACTTAACATGCCAGAGAAAGACAGTAATGTAGACAGTACCTCAAATTATTATTATTATTTTTTTTAAAGATTTTATTTATTTATTCATGAGAGACAGAAACAGAGGGAGAAGCAGGCTCCCAAGGAGCGGGAAGCCCGATGCGGGACTCGATCCCAGGACCCTGGGATCATGACCTGAGCCGAAGGCAGACGCTTAACCATCTGAGCCACCCAGGCGCCCTCAAATTATTTTTTTTTAAGATTTTATTTATTTATTTGTCAGAGAGAGAGGGAACACAAGCAGGGGAAATGGCAGGGAGAGGGAGAAGCAGGCTTCCCACTGAGCAAGGAGCTCAATGCAGGACTCGATCCCAGGACCCTGGGATCATGACCTGAGCCGAAGGCAGACGCTTAACCAACTGAGTGACCCAGGTGTCCCTATTTCATTAGTTTTGGTTACATGGTACTTAAAATTCCCCAGCAGATAGTCTGTGATCATAATCTGCTCAGTGTCATATTACAATTCATTTGCATGACTTCAGTTTATATATAAAGATTATCAAAACCTAAAAATTGTATTGGGAAGTAGTTCTTAATCCAATACTTGTCAGAAATGACATACAAAGTAAGTCAAGATTTGTCTAAAGTTATTTTATAGTGATATTATTTCTTAAACTGTTTTTTTTTAGGTATTTAAAAAGTATTATAAGCCCATGGTAAAAAATCAAAATACTATAGACAGATGTACAGTATTACAAATAAATCTCCCCCTTATTCAAAATTTCTGATTCCTTCTCCAGAGGCAACCTTTTGGATCCTTCTAGAATTTTTTATGCACATAGAAACACATATAGCTTTGGGCGCCTGGGTGACTCAGTCAGTTAAGCAACTGATTCTTGGTTTCAACTCAGGTTGTGATCTCAGGGTCATGAGATAGAGCCCTGCATGGGGCTCTGCGCTTAGAGTAAAGTCTGCTTGAGACTCTCTCTTCCTCTCCCTCTGCCCCTCCCCCTGCTCTCTCTCTAAAATAAATGAATAAATAAACTAAAAAAAAAAAAAGAAGCACATGTAGCTTTTGAAATCATTTTTAAAAACATAAATAAGAACATACTGTATAAACTGTACTGCATCTTACCTTTCTCAATAGATTTTAGAGACTTTAAAAACAGCACATCAAGTTCTACCTAATTCTTTCCAATGGCTGCAGAGTATTCCACAACATAAATGATTTTAATTCATTTAACTGCTCCTCTACTAATGGACCTTAAATGTTGTTTTCAAGCTTTAACTTTCAAGTTTTATGCTGCATATGCGTATGTGTCCACTTACGTCTATTTATTTAAAGGATATATATATATATATATATACACACACCCACGTGCACATACACATATATGATAAATTCCTAGAAATCAAATTGCTAACTCAGAGTATACAGGCATTTTATTTTATTATTATTTTTTTTAATGTTTATTCTGTTCACTGATGTAGCTATCAGAGAACTTTTTTTTTTTTTTTTTTAAAGATTTTATTTATTTATTTGAGAGAGAGAGAAAGCATGAGGTGGGGAGGGTCAGAGGGAGAAGCAGACTCCTCGCCGAGCAAGGAGCCCAATGCGGGACTCGATCCCAGGACTCCAGGATCATGACCTGAGCCGAAGGCAGTCGCTTAACCAACTGAGCCACCCAGGCGCCCCCGAGTATACAGGCATTTTAAAATTTTGATACATACTGACAAATATTAACCGAAGAGGTGGATGGCAGTGATCCTTTGAATTCTACCTTTATGTACTTTATCTTGACAACTAGATTGTTCTCCTTCATCCATTTCTCTCCCAGTATCTGAAAAAGGCCTTCGTACAGGGGAATACTCAAGATGCAGTGGGACAGTGTGGGGCTCCCGCACCAAGACAGACTGAGGCCACCTCTGATCAGTCTGTCAGGGGAGCAGGGGGAGGGATAGGATCATCTCCAAAGGATGACTCCATTTAGCAGTCCCCTCACTTCCTTCCTAGTCCACCTACAGAAACACCCCTCAGTTACCCCAGTACCTTGAACGATGTCATCCTGCCGCTGCAGGGTGGGTCGGGGAGGGCGGGCAGACTCTCTATCCGAAAACCCCTTTTCAGGGGTCCTGGAGCCACCACTCCCTTCACTAAAGGGTGGGGGCAGGTTCCCAGCATGGACTTGACGTAGCTGTTCAAAATCACTGAGGGCGGCACTCACGTCCCAATTCTTTCCTGGCAGGAGACAAAGCAAAGAGTGAAATGGGTACTCAGAGTACAGGGAAACTGAGGAAAGACACAGAACAATCACTCGAACCATCCTCTCAAAACTAGCAAGGAGGGGCGCCTGGGTGGCTCAGATGGTTAAGCGTCTGCCTTCGGCTCAGGTCATGATCCCAGGGTCCTGGGATCGAGTCCCGCATCGGGCTCTCTGCTCCTTGGGAGCCTGCTTCTCCCTCTGCCTCTCTCTATCTCTGTCTCTCATGAATAAATAAATAAAATCTTTAAAATAAATAAATAAATAAATAAAAGAAAAAAAGAAAAACTAGCAAGGAAAATTCATGCATACTTCCACCATTCTCCTGTTTCTTATTGCGCTTAATTTTCTTCCGTAACACTTCAGTCTGCAATACCACAATTTCTTTATTTACTTGTCCATTTCCTAAGCTGGCTCTGTGAGCATTGAACCTTTGTGTCTCTGAAATGGAAGGGCCCACAGAGACCACAGATAAAACAAAGGAAGCCTAAAGAAGTAGAGTGACTTGCCCAAAGGCACAGCTAGTTTGCACCAAGGAAAAGTGTGACTAAAGCCCAGGTCTCTCAATTCTGATATCCAGAGAGTTCTTAGCCTAGACATGCTCTGCAATGTCCTAAACCATCCGAAATTGTATACAAAGGTATAAGTATGTGCATTTTTCTAAAGAAAAAGAGCTGATAGCTGTCCTCAGATTACCAAAACTGCCGCCAAATTTAAGAATCACTACTCTACTGAAGAAAAGACTCTAAATGGTAGATTTGTCATAATGGATTTTTCTGTTGCTTTCTCCAGTTATATTATTCAATATATATTTCTTTCTATTCTATTCCACCTGCTACCCCTTTAATTCAATTCCTATCACCCACTGTCCCACCTCCAATCCACTCTAAAGTATCCCATGAGATTAATCTTTCCAAAGCACAGTTCTGATCATTTCAGTTCCAGAATCAAAACTGCTAACTGCTTGCCACTGCCTACAGAATAAATCCTAGGCTCCTGTGTCTGACATTCAAGGCTTTCTATGACCTGGCCTACTTTTCCAGCCTTTTTTCTGTGTTTCAATCTCCCTGGCTATCAAAGTGGAGATGACTCCATGTAGGACTGTTATGAAGAACAAATGAATTAAAAGCACTGGGACACAGCAAGTTTTATATATGTATTTATTGCTGTTGCTGTGATATCTGTTATTACTCTAATTTTCCAGTTAAGCTGTATGAATCATTAATACCCGATGAATTTACTTCTGAGCCATTACATCTGCCATTTGTTCCAGCTCCCTTTGCTCACACTGCTTCAGTCAGCCTGGCCTCTTTACTGTCCCTACAAACATGCTAAGACTACTCCCACCTATGGCCTTTCCAACAACTCTCCCCGCTGCCTGGAAGGCTCTCTCCCCAATTTATCTACACTCCTTCAGGTATTTGTTCAAAATGTCACATTCTTTTTTTTTTTTTTTAAGATTTTATTTATTTATTTGACAGAGAGAGGCAGTGAGAGAGGGAACACAAGCAGGGGGAGTGGGAGAGGGAGAAGCAGGCTTCCTGCGGAGCAGGGAGCCCGATGCGGGGCTCGATCCCAGGACCCTGAGATCATGACCTGAGCTGAAGGCAGATGCTTAACGACTGAGCCACCCAGGCGCCCCATATGTCACATTCTTAATAAGGCCTGCCTTAACTGCCCAAGTAAAAATCACAACCTACCCATCATTTCCCATAACACTTCACACCTTAACATATACTTTACAATGATTTGGTTATCATGGTTATTATTTATTGACTGTTTTTCCTGCTAGAACATAAGGGCACGGATTTTTGTTTGTTTTGTTCGAGCACCTAGAACTTGGCACATAGTAGGTACTCAATAAATATTTGTTGAAGAATGAAGGACTTTTGTCCCGACTCAACAAATGAATGAATGAATGTTTACCACACAGTTGGAAATACAGAACACTGTACTGAAAACTGGCTCTGTATTTGCAACTTGTGATAAACTCCTTAAAATCAGGTCCTAACAGCCAACTTGTCCAAAACTGAATGTCCATCATCCTCCTTCCTGAGACTTGCTACGTCTCCTCCTTCTATATTCCTCAAACTGATAATGGTATCATAAGCCCTCCAGGCCAGAAAATTCCGTCACCTTCAGCTCCTCACTACGCAGATCCAACTCCTCCGCCCTCACTATCTAGTCAATGTTTGCACTCATGAAACATCTCTCAAATCTGTTCTTTCTTGTCCATTTTTATTGTCACTGTGCCCATGCAGATCCTCATGATTGTCCCCTGGTCTCTGGGAGAGGCTCGGCTAGTCTCTCCTCCCCTAACATGTCCCCTCTCGAATTTGTTCTTTACACTATGAACCAAAGTTAACTTTTAAAGGAAAAAGCGAGAAAGAAGCAGGGAGAAAATGAAGATCAGGCCCTTTGATTTCCCTTCTAAATTCTATCTTAAATCTGTCCACTTTTCTCTCTTCTGCCACCACAGCAGTTCAAGCCATCATCATCTCTCACCTCAATCGTGGCCAACAGTCTTAACTGGGTTGATCACTTCTCTGGCCACCTTCCAATCTGTTCCACAGCCTTCAACCAAAATTCAAATCCAATCACGTCACTCCCTGATTACAACCCTTCACCAGCTTCCCACTGAACACAGAATGACATTTAAACTCCTTACCACAGTCTACAAAGAGCCCCATATTCTGCTTCCTGCCTTTCTATTTCCTACCACTCTTACCCCACTCTTCCTACCCAGTGTCAAACTCTCTTTCATCTTAGGTCCTTGTATAAGCTTCTGTATCAACACTCTCTTCTCTATCCCTTTTGTCTTGTTACTCCCACACACCCTTCTGGGTTCAGTTCAAAGGTCACTTCCTTAGAAAGGCCTTTCTGCACCCTGTATCTAAATTGGGTTTTTCTCTCTTACACTTCCATAGTACCCTCAACCTTTCCTTCATAGCAGAGAAGTGTGTGCACGTCTGTGTGTGAGAGAAAGAGATTACACAAATATTAATTGTAATGTAATTGTTAAGAGCCAGCCTCTGAAACCAGATTGCCTGAGTTCAAATCCCATTTAACTTCTCTGAACCTCAGTTTTTAAAACTGTAAAGTGGGATAATAAAACTTATATTTAGAGTGCTTATAAGAATAAAATAATGTATCCCAAGTACTTCACACATACAGCATTCAACACATGTTACAAGAGGAAGAGGAAGCATTTGAGCTGAATCCTGAAGGATGAGGAGAATTTCAGGAGAATAATGGAGGAAGGGACACTGCAGACTTAGAAAACAACTTAACGTGACCAGGGAAAGGTGACAAGTTGGGCCAGGCTGAAACATAAGAAGGAGAAGGTACTAGGAAATAAAACCAAAAATGCCAGTCAAGGGCAGAGTCATACTGAATTAGCAAACTGGAGTCCAAACCCAGATCTTTCATTTCCTAAGTAAGAGGCAGAAGCAAATGTCAAGTTGTCACACCCTGCTAAGGGCTGACAATCTAAAACATTAGAATGTACACTAAGAACCTGGCCCTTTCCCCTCAGGCTTACCCATTTGTGTCATTATATATTTCCATCAACAAAAAACATCTGTTAATTATGACTCCAAACAAAGCATCCTACTGACATGATTCTAAGCCTTAAGGACCTTAAAATATAGAACGTTCACAATTATGTGTACATACAGACATAAGTAAACAAAGGCAGCAAAATAAAAACATTAACTTAATTCACTCTACATAGAATCACCCATACAAATTAGGGAAGGAAAGAAACAAAACGATGAATGATCCCAAAGTCATTTATATATAAAGAAGACGACTTACAGATCTAGAGTTGTGCTTTTAGTGGATTAATATAAAATTTCACTTGCATTACCTGAGCATAAATTCACAGTGGAGAAAGCTACAACAAAAATTCAAAGTGAAAACGGGATTTTTCATTTTAAAATTATGGTGAGTCATACACAGGTGGATTATTAGAAGCGAGGTAAATGTAAGGTCTGCCATACACAAAGTATCTTTATATGTTCCAAGTCATCCTAACAATAAACATCGCATTTTACTTTTTCTCTTATTTTCCCCCTTGTGACTCCTTACCTTCCAGGAGATCTCGGGCCAGCCCAGGCTCTGCGCCTGTGGAACGGACAAAATCTGACAGGACAGCATCCATGTCCAGGGTCATGTGATCATTAAGTACTTTCAGGCAGCTGAGGTAGGGTGGACATATATCAAAATTCAGGCCTCCACCTGAGGAGGAAATAAACACATAAGGCTCAAATTACACTGAAATAGGATGATCACAGCCCAATTTCAGCAGCTTCCTAACCAAAAGGGGAAACTATCCCAGCTCATTCATTTCAGCTGAATTTATTAGGAAGAGCAACATTAGTTTCCTAATTCCTCATTAATTTCTTTTTTTTAAAGATTTTATTTACTTATTTGACAGAGAGAGGCAGTGAGAGAGGGAACACAAGCAGGGGGAGTGGGAGAGGGAGAAGCAGGCTTCCCGCCGAGCACAGAGCCCCATGTGGGGCTCAATCCCAGGACCCCGGGATCATGACCTGAGCTGAAGGCAGACGCTTAACGACTGAGCCACCCAGGCGCCCCTCCTCATTAATTTCTTAACCACTAAATTAATCATAAAGTCTAATGTCACTCTGAATAATGCTTTTCTTCTACCTTTCTAGAGTATTCCATTTCTATCAGCAGTTTGCTTATCCAAGCTAATGGAAGAAAGCAGCAGACTACCACCCTGAAGAATTTCCCACCTTGTTTCTTTCCTTCCCAGCACTTGATATAACCTGAAATTATTTTAATAGGTTGCTGTCTAGCCTCCTCCTCTAATATGTAAGTTTCTTGAAAGCCAAGTGCTTGTGTCTCTTGTTCACTAATGTGTCCTCAGCATGTATCACTTGGCACTGTGCGTGGCATACAGGCCCTCAGGAAATATTTGCGGAATGAATGGGTAAATGAACAAATGAGCACTATACACTGAATAACTTTAGAGTTGACTAGTGTTCTGAGGCTAGCTGAGGACAGGGAAGGAGCAAGCTGATAGTGAAAACTACTCAAAATAAAACAATAAGCTATTATGCAAAGCAGAGTGGAGATCTCAAAGGTACACAAAAGTCAATTTTTGCCCACTAATTTCATGAACCCAGGAAACAAGCCTTTCTCTACCGCAGACAAATGAGCCAAATAAGTTTACCTGAAAAAGATCTCTTCTTTCAGACTTGACTTTGGCAGAAACTCTGTCCCTGACCTGATAGCCTGGCACCAATCCACATTCCTCTAAAGTTAGCAGTCCCAGCCGAGGAAGCAATAACAGAGTGAAGAACAATCTCTAACCAAATTCTACACACTAGACAGGTCTACAGTTCTCTGGAGAAGAGGGCTTGTTCCTAAAGTAACCATAACACACCTGCCCTACCACACCCACCAATCCTTTCCCTTTTCGGGAAGGCCAAAAGTAGAATTCTCAGAGGTAAAAGGTGACTCAGGTGACTCTCTGCAGAAACATCTCCTCCTAAACAACCTAAAGTCTAAGGGTGACTCAGATACCTTTTCTTCAAACCTCCCCCAATGCCAGGACACAGCTTGTTTAGTGGTATGATCAGATCCTGATTTTCTGCATTCCTTAGAAATACTAAAGCAAATAAACAGCAACGATTTGTGGGTCATAAAACCAGGAAGTCACTAACTTGACTGCAGGGACATGTTTTATTCATATTTGTAGCCCAACACCTAGCACCTAGCACAGCACCTACAATATTGTAGGCAGTCAATAAATGCCTGATGGAGTAAATAATTAAATGACTAAGTGAACTTCCACACCAGCCACCACCAAACCAATCCATTTTCGGCTTAACTTAACAAATGAGAAATTCCAGGGTCCTTCGTACTTCCTATCACCCCTCTATTTCTAAGAGTCTGCCCTGGTCCCAATCCATCTCTCCAAGTTTCAGAAACTCTCTTTTCTGAAGAGACATCATCCATACTGTCACTAGTTCTGCCACCCTCGTACCATATGATTTTACCTACACCCATATATGTTAGCTGGGTGGCTTTGGTCAAATTACTTACAGGGTTTCAGTTGCCTCTTGTTTATCCTAGACTTGGATTCAATGACCTCTAAGATCCTTTCCAGGTTTAAAAACTGAACTTCTCCAGTTCACTATAGCCTCATAAACCATGATCCTGACATTCTCTTTTAGTCTATGTATAACCAATGTCTAATTTCCTTCCATTTCAATATCCCAATTGTCAGAAAAGGCTGCCAATACATAAGTAACTTTTGGCCTAACATACCTCAAGTTCAAAATGTCAAGTTATCAAATAAATTAGTTTCTTACATTTTATACTTAAAAATTAAATTCCTTCAGAATTCATAATGAATGAGTGGTTTCTCCCTCCCCTAATAAAGACAAGAATTTCTTCTCCAAGCCCATTTTAGTCACTGTCTTAGAGGTCACAGGAGATGGTTGCAGCCCAAATAACTTGAAAGCATGACTAATCCAAAACCAAGAGCATAGCTGCAAAATGAATTTCAATCTTCTCTCTTAAAAAAAAAAAAAAAAAATTCGAAGGAACTTAGTAAAGCCACTTTAATAAATTTCTGAAAGACTGTGGGAGGTATACAGTAAGCACACACATAGCAATCAGCAAAAAGATGCTCAGCAGAAGAGAGAAGAGCTGATTATGCCACAGGCATGTAGGCCATTTCCCAGCCAGACATAGGCTCCTGTGGCTGAGAAGCCAATAAAAACCATCAATGTCATGGCATCATAGATCTCATTTGCCAACACAGTAGGTCATTCTTTTCAACAAAGTATTTTTGAGAAGTAATTTAGAGATCCAACATTATCTAGAACAACTTGCCAAAAAATTCAAAGCACTAAACCAAGCGTCTTGGCAGCACATTCTTGTATCTGATGCCTCCAGGTGCAGGCCACAGACTCCACCCTAACCCCACCCAACAGGAGAGGACAGTAGCTTTTGTTACATCACCACCAACACCTGGTTTGAGCTTCTCAAATTCCAAATGGGAAATATCCACAACATGGACTAAAACACACAGTCCTTGGCTCTGTCTCAGCACACAGGAAGAAAAAAAAGAAAATACTGGCTTTCAAACTTTCAAAAAAAACAGAGGAGGCACTCAAGCATCTGTTGATTGAATGGTGTTTAGACAAATCTCAATTGGGGTCAAAACCCTCCAGTCCTCCAACCGGACGAGACATTAGTGATTACTTAGTCCAGTGTCTGCCCCGCCCCCTGCAGAAATCCTTCTATTACATCTCTGACAGGGAAATCACCCAGTCTCTGCATGGATGGATACAAGTTTTGATGGAAAACCCATTCCTTTGCCACGATGTCCGTCTTATTGTTGGACAGATCTAATCATTAGAAAACACTTTTCTAAATTAAATCACCAGCCCACCTCCCTCTATAACTTCCACATAATGGTCTGTGTTCTCTTCTCCAGAACAATAAAATCCACACCCAAGAATGATGGCATTTTCACAAAGATTAGAGAAAGCATTTCTTCATACAAAAATGTGTTTACAAACAAAGAAACAAATAAGGCTTGAAAAGTCAGGTAGGGGGCCCAAAGTCTGAACCCAGATATTTTGGACACATACCCCACCGCACCATACTGCCTCCCAAGGCACTAGGGCATTACTGAACCCCAAAACAGCACTGATTCTTACCTCTTGAACCCTTTCACACAGGAAAGGGCTATGCCTATCTCTTCTATTTATTGAAGACTTAGACACCTGCCTTGTATCGCCCTCACTTTAAATCCTACCATTTTCCTCAGCAATTTCAACATCCACCTACACAACCCATCCAATGTTTCTGCCATAAGAGCTTCATAATCTCATCAAATGCTCCAGCATCTCAGTCCTGAACCCTGCCATCTCCTAAAACTACTCCACCTCTCTATTTTCAACATCCAAAATCTTACTTTGGCTACAATCTCATCTTCCTTTCAGCTTTCCCTCTCTACTACTAAACCTGCTCTCTTACCTCAAGATATCCTCACCTCAGATTAAGTCATCCAATTCCTTAACCACCTTATTCACTAATGCAACAAAAATCATGGAGTGCCTACTACGTGTTAGGTGCACTATGTTCAGGATTAGAAGCACAACAGACAGATACAATTTTTATCCTCAGGAAGATTCCAGTCTGGAGAAAAAAACCACAAAATTTCACAGAAAATTGTAATAAAGAAATGCTGGAGAGATGGGTGTTATCTCCTACAGGGTGTCAGAAAAAGCTTTCCCAAGGAAGTGATATTACATCTAAGGACCAAAGAATGAGTAGGAATTGGAGGGACAAACTGGGAAAGAAAGAATGCTCCGAGCAGAGGAAACATATATCAACACAGGAAGAAACATAGAGGTGAGAATAGTACAAAATGAGGATTAAGAGGTGGCCTGAAAGACCCTGCTAAACATTGAGATTTTATCCTAAAAGTAATGAAAAGCCATTGATGGGTTCTAAGTAGGGGCAGGACATGATCAGATCTGAAATAGTAAAAGATCCCCCTGGTTGTAGTGAGACGGGTGTGGAAGGAGCACAAGTGGAAATTATTGCAAAGACATGCTGGTGAGCTGGACTAGGATGACAGCAGTTAACGACTGAGAAAAAAAAAAGTGGACAGATGTCACTTTGTCCCTTCTTGCCTAACTGAATGTGAACCCAATGACTGATCACCTATTTTCCAGCAAAAACCTAGTTCTGCTATTCTATTTCATCTGCCCAACCTGGATGGCTCCCACATTCAACTTCTGGCTACTACCTGGGGCCAGTGAGCAAGATAAGATCACATAACCATGCAGAGAAATCCAACTACAAGTAAATGACATTCAGTCTCATTACATTCAATGAAACATGGCTGTTTTCTGCTTGACTTTGGTACAAGTCAACCAATCTTCTCAGCTACTATCCCACACCTCCACCATTCTCCTACCCAATCCTTATCACTCCCCTTACTCCTGACCCATGACCTTGCCTCCAACTTCACAGAAAAAATTATGACACAAAGCAAGAGGAGTTCCTTCAGGTCTCCTCCCCTGTCCCTACCTACCAGCTGCTCTTCCCCTCGACCCTGAAAAACTCCCTAAAATCGACATTCGCTGATGCTACTTTCTCACCTTAGATGCAGTGCTCATCCTATCCAAATGTGCTTCTACTGAAGGAGAATGGCACTGACTTAAAATAGGATCACAATTCTCCTT